ACTCCAATGTGCATCAAGAGGAAAGCGTTAGAATCCAAAGAAGTCGAGACAACTGTGCTACCAAGAGCATGTTGAATGAAGTGGCATAAGCGGACTCGTGAGATCTCGTACTCGCAAGGGCAAACACAGCGCCTCGCGGACAGCACCTTCCTGGATGCGAAGTTCAAGTCTTCCACAGGGTCTGCTGCCTCGCACGGCACATGCTGGGCATAAGGGCACAGACTTTCATGGCACAGGCACTCGTCCAGGACCAGTCGAGTGTACGTAGAGGCTGAGTTGCAGGCTGGCATGCTCAAGGTTCAGTGACCACTCGCTGCAGCTTGCAGGTCCAGTAATACAAGGAGTGACACGAGGATCGCCAATGAAAACGCCTGCGCCACGCATGGTTTCAACGCAGCTTCGTCAACGTAGCATTCGGTCCATGTAGAATGTAGACTGTCCCCATGTAGAATGTAGAAGCTTCGCAACGAAAAGCGCAAAAACTGAAGAGCAATGCAAATCCCATCCTACTGAGCAAAAACCCTCTTACCTGTGTCTCTGAGGCCTACAGTAGCATACTCTTGGCATGCCCTTAGAATACTCTTGGCATGCTTAGCTGCACCTTGTAAAACACAGCGCGACGGATCTCCGGCTTGGCAAAGGCTCAAGGTGGCCCGGGGATCCTTGCAGCCACAAAAAGGCTCGCACACAGACTACAAAAGCTCCAACAAAACAAAAAGATATAGAAAAGATTCTCAGAAAGGTTCTCAACACCAGGGCGCAGCTACTTCTGCTGGTTGAGACCAGGAGAAAAGCAGCAGTTTTCCATCTGTTCCAATCCTCCGCTTGACTTGGCTACTTAGCTGTGAGGGCTTCAAGAGACTTTATCTGTAAATACGATGATCCGATAAAAAACGGATGCGCATCTGTGCAAGTGTAAGCACCGGCCTGAGTGAATTGAGAAGTCGTGGAGGATTGCAGGAGCGGGTGTGATGCACTTCGGTCATCGTCTGGCTTGCCACTCCTCGACTTGTAGCCATTCCTGCATGGAAGTCAGCTTCCAACATCCTTGGCATTATCTTGGCGTCATCTTGCATCTATCGGCCGCATCACACGTCAAGCTTCGAGCTGTAGCACACTTCAGCTGGTCACTTTGAAGGACTAAGCCCCAGCTAAGCCCACCACATGCCACAAGGAAGGTGCTCTCTGTCCGGACAGTTTCCCTCCACCTCGCAGATGTCCACCTCAAAGCTGCGATAGTCTTCGCAACGCTGGGCTCCAGCAACCTGCATGGTCTGGAAAATCGGGCGTGACAGCTTCTTGAGGCAAATTATGGCGGGTCTTGCGGCCTGTCCATGCGTAGCGTGAACACAGTACACCTTCCAAGTCGCTTTGCGTGGGCCATGACCAGGATTTGTAAGACATGCACAAAATGTGATGACTTGAGATCACTCGCTGGGGGTGCAGCGGGCTGCTCAAACACAGAACCCGTGCCATCTGCGTTGTCATCTACCTAAGGGGGCACAGCCAGGACGCATGAGGCCAAACTTGGCCTAGCGATGCCTAGCGTGGGCGACAACCTGGCCACTGCAGGCCAAGACACTTTGCCAACGCCAGATGAAAAATTTCCGTCTCCATACATCCAATACAGATGCTTGCTGGGCTGCAGCGTGAACAAAGCTGTCACAGTCTCCCGAGAGCGTTGATCAGCGGCACCTGAGACAAGAAAATCGTCTTGACATCTCAGGTATGGTGAATCGGACATTCGGAGGATGCTGCTAGCCCGCACTACTCCACAAAAAGACACAAATTTCTTTTGGGGTGGACGAGGATGGCTGTCTGACAACCCCATACCGAGGGTGGGGAACAAAGGACGGTATGAATAGCGCCACAGTGCACCTCCTGGGATGGCAACAGCTTCTGGTCCTGCTTCCAGCTGTATCCGATGCGTGGTCCCATTGAGCTTCACAGGCGCGTTGAAAACCACCTGAAAGAACAACCGACCGAAAATGCCCCCCCTTCTCCTAGCTACACAAGCAATACGCTCCCCACAGCCTGAAGGAAGCGATCCTGATGCAACCACGTCTTGACTTTGGGAGAAGGCCACTTCACACAGAAGTCGAGCTTCAGGTCCTTCCATGACTGCAACAGCCCGACGGAAAGTGTCCAGAACGCACAATGTCACAACAAAATGTGGAAGATCTGCAGCAGTTCCTCACATAAAGAGGTGTGGCTGTTGCACGAGATTACTGCCTCGCAGGTCGCAGTCATGGCTGGATGTCTCCCTTGACACCACTCAGGCCACCTCCATGTCCAGATGAAATCTGTAGCAGCACCCAGGCTTCAGGTCTCTGTCAGGGCGGAAGATGAGAGTTCCTCTGCTGTGCATGTTCTGCGCAAATCAAATTTAAAAAAAAGCGAAACATGGTGAGGAGGCAGCTGGAGGCAGCTGGGTTGAACCATCGTAGGGTGCATACTCGTTCACACTGCACACAATATAAGCCGTCGATGCAGTCAGAAATCTTCCAGGCATCCGCACCTGCGCACTCAAGTGTTTCGCGACGTGAGATAGGAACAGCGGCACATCTAAAGCAAAAGAAGCCGGCACTGAACCCACGACAGCGTAAGCGTAGCCTCGGAGACTGGAAGAGAAGCTGGAATCAGCTCACTTCTGCATACCGAATCGCTCAAACTTGGGAGGTCGAAGCCTGCCACCGAGCGTCAAAGGAGCCACAAACACTGAACACATGAGGAGGAAGTCTGTCAGGGACTCTCGGGGGCACCGACCTTACCAGTACCTTTAGTGCTGCACCAATACCTTCTTGTTATTGCTTGCCTTCTCTTGGCTCACATAGATGTGTGTTCATCCTGCTCTTGTCGGTGGCGGTGGTGGTGGTGGTGGTGGTGGTGGTGGTGGTGGTGGTGGTGGTGGTGGTGGTGGTGGTGGTGGTGGTGGTCGAGATACCCGTGTTGGAAAAGTTGGTGTTAGTCCGCTTTCGCTTCAGGCGAGGATGGTGAGCGATGTAACAGCACTTGCAAGGAACTTGCGGATGTCATCAGAAGATGTCAGAAGATGTCCTCTGCACCTTCCCAACCTCAACATCCGAACCTTCCACGAAGCCTCTCGGGGTTGTCGCGCTGAGCCGACGAGAGGCTTCTTGTTCAGGGATTCCTGCTCACTTCAACTTGCATACTGCTGCCGCTCACGCAGCCATGTCCCTGATGCTCCAGATCCAAACAGCGTTGCCGACTCCGTCGCTCGCAGTCTTACCTGATGTACAGTCTGCTCGCTGCATCTCATTTCATCTCGTTTACGATGGCCGCTTACAGAACGGGCAAACTCGCCAGCAATGCACATCGATCGAAATGAAGGACGACGTAATCCAAGCCTGACCTCGTCAGCACGGACCCCTCTGATGTTCTCAACGCATGAGTACTTCAGGACCCCTCAGAATGTTGAGAGTGATTTCATCGAAGATCAGCATGAGACGCCAATTTACACGGCTCAGGATGCCCCACAGATCCCACAGCCTCCCCATTTCTGGGATCAATCGCTTGTGATACAATACAGCCCTGTAGGCCGCATCGTCGTGAGCTCCACATCGACTCGACAACTTAAGCTTAAAGGCTCCGAAGCTTTGCAATTCTACTCAAAAATGAACATATGAAGTGAAGAATGATGTAGAGATTGCTTGAGGTCGCGTCTGATTCCTTTGGTTCGCATAATGTTCGCTTGGACTTCTGCGAGTTCGAAAAGGACATGTGAAACGCGGACAAGAACGTCGTTCTATCGATATTGAAATTATGCATCCTACTTTCTGCAATAAGTTTCCTATCGAATCAAGTTAGCTTTTGATGTTGCTTCGGTTCTGGCCATTCTCGTAAGACTCTTATCGTTTCTTTTCTTTCTTGATTTGGACAATCAAGACCATGCAGCGTGCTCCTAGTGCTCGCTGAGATGTCGGCTTTACATTGACTTCACCATCCCACGGAAAGGTTGTCACCATCTGCCTGGCAGACAAAAGAAGTCGACCAAACAATTCAACAAGAGGGAGAAGGGCCCTGGTCAATGAGCCAGGTTGTCGGACAGCTGTTTGTCTCAGGTGTGGCCATTTCAAAGGCAACAGGTGCAGCAATGGGAGGACCATAAGCTGCCAAGGCCTGACTCATCTCGCAGCAATCATGCTCTTCTCACGCGCGGCATTTTTCAGCCCAGCTCAAGGTTCGGAGTTCGGAGCAGCATGAACTTCTCACACTTCACGGCAAGCCAAGACATGCCACATCAGCTCGGTCTCCAGCCACTTGAACCCGCAGGCCCTGCGGCAATATTTACAGGGGTGTGCGGGATGGGTTGCACCGGACAGCTATGAGCATGCCTGCTCTGCTTTGGATTTCTGAGCAGTGTTTCGCATGACTTTGCTTCATCTTGCAAAGAGTACGTGAGAGCAACAAGAGTACCGGAACTGGGCACACTGGGTCGAGTGTCGACGCGAAGCTCGGCCGTGTTCTGGAATCAAAATTTTGCACAGAATTTGAGGGAGGAGGAATAAGATTCGAATAACACGAAAGGGAGCCCCCAAAAAACCCGAGAACCCGAAAACCCCGGCCTCTCTCGGAGCAGTCAATGCCTCTGGAGCGCGCCACAAACTTCCCAACAGCGCCTGGCTCTTCAACGGCTCAGCTGACAGAAGTCTGACATAAGTCTGGCAATCTCTGCAACGAAAGAACTCTTTCGTGCACTGCTGATTGTACGCAGGTTTGCTTTGCATCCGCTCATTCTGAAGGGTCTGGTGGACAAGCAACTAGGTCATGTCAAATGCCAAGGCTCAATTTTCCAAGCGGCGCATGCAATTCGTGCGCAAAACTCTGCCATTAAAGCAGGGCCGTCGCTAGGAGTCACTGCAGATCTACTAATTGAGCAGAATGTGCAATAAGCGTCACGGGCCACCTCTGCTTTGCTAAGGCACCCACACGAACGAGCTACGTCCGAAGACACCTGCAGCCATAACAAGTGAGACTTCTCACTTGGAGGCAGGGTCACCTGTACCAGCCAAAAGCCTCGGTTTGCCAGGCAAGGTAAGCCCTTCAACCCTGTCAAACCCGTTGGGTGGTACAAATCTATGCTGTGCTCCTTCATCAAAGCTTCCACGCATCAAACTGTGTCAAACACATACCTGCGAAATGCTGATTATCTCTCCCAGTGGGTTTATGGCTTTACACTTCGTAAAGGTTTGTACGTCTACGTCTTTATAGGATTCATGTAGGGGATGAAAAAGCGAAGTCGCACAATGCTTTGGCGCTTTTGGTATTTGTGTTCTCTGTCCTGGCACAGATAGGGCAATCTATGGAATTGGCTGCAAGATTCTGAGTTTTAACCTGGCAGTTGACGAGTGAACTTCACCTCCTGTTCATAACATGGGATTCACAAAACAGGTTTGGCAAATCGTTACCGTCAAATATGGTGTATTGTTCTCCTTCTGTGCGTTGTCGGATATCATTCAAACATGTTCTCATTTAACACTCCACTGGAAACCTGAGCAAAGACATTGCTCTTAGAACCCTTTGGTAGCGTTTGCTTCAACGAACTGAGATTAATACTCATTGTGTAAATGTGATTCTTCTTCATGATTGCATACAGTGTTTGTATGTGATGATCGTGCTTGTTTGGGTCATACTGATACACCACATCCTCGAACACATCATACCCTACCAGCAACATGAATGCTGCAGTGCTCGAACACTTTGAACACGTCGTCAAGACTAGCACCATTTGCAGCGAAATCATCCTCTGCTTTGCTTATGCGTTTAAACACTGTTCTTCTCCCTCTTCCTGCTCCTCACGAGGCCATTTTATATTATCTGATGGTGTGTAATTGATCCAACACATATTGCCCCGATAAGGTTCCAGTTTCATGGCTTCCCATAGCGCCTCATACTCTGGGTTCGACGGCTCTAAATACCTTGCATACATTGGCATACATGCTAAACATTAGTGCATCTCTAAGGCTCTCTGATCACATCGACACTATCCGCACCATACGTCAATATACCAGCAACATGCTGCATCACATGGTCAAGGTTTCCTTCATAGCCGGGCTGTTAGGTTATCCTTTACCAGTTTCTTAAAGTGTCTGTTGTCCTCACAATGCGGTAGTACTGGTAAGCCCTATGTCCTCATAGTCACTGTACACCCTCAATATATCTGGATGCATGTATACTGCTTTAGTTTTAAGGTCATGAAATATGGGTAAAGGATAGGCAATCTTATCATATCCAATGAAGTGTTGTTTTCGCGCTGTCCTTCCTCCAGCTTCTCATCTTTATGCTTGTCGCAGATGTTGCTGTACTGGCGTGTCTTGGCTGTGATAGATGCTCGGGTTCAGTTGTCGGTGGTAGTTAATACCCCAAAACGGACACACCAATGCTAACTCAACACAGGACTGCACAGTACTGCACAGGCGATCTCAGAAAGCGGCTCCAGCTCAGTCACCAAACGCTCCAAGCTTTCCCTCTCACTCACCCAGGAGAACGTGGAACCTGCACGTTGATTCGTAGCGTGTCTCTGCGGCCGAATCTTTACCTACAACAAATAAGGCACCGCGAACATACCGTGCCCCGATGTAGAGAGTGCAGGCCTTGGTATGAAAAACCTGAGTTGCCTGGACCTTGCGTGCATGGGATTTGGCAGCTCGGGTGTACTTGTGCCACTGGCCTGCTAGCTTTCTGAAGAACGGATCAAATGAAGGATAGAAGCCATTTTGGCAGCATGCCATGCATGCCAGATATTCAGTGTTGCTACGTCATGCAGGAGACAGAAAGCCAAATGCAGCTTTAGACCGTGCATGGTTTGCAAGCTGCCCCTAAGCTGAAGCTCTTCGAAAGAGCAAGACGCTGCACGCGAGGCTGCTCTTCAATTCCATGTGCAATGCGAACTACAGGGGTAGTTTCGGTGCCAAAGATCGAGGCCTGAATCCAGGAGCCACACCACGCACTTCAAAAAACACATGCGAACTAGGGGTAGTTGCAGATGTCAAGGTGGTGTTACTCAGGTTTGCTTTGATCTCCCAAACATATGACAGGACACGATGCAACAACATTCACGCTCACATGCTTCTGTGGACCTTTCTTTGACGGACGGCACCGACAGTAGAGAAATCTGGGGATTACAAAAGCACCGCCACAAGGCACAAGTACTCAACGCCTGGTGCAGGAAGACTTGGCTCTTCTGCCAGATTCTGCATTTTGTACAACTCCTGGCAAGGTACAGTATGCTTTGCTACGGCAATGTGTTCCAAATCACGCAATGCAAGCGTCCTGCTGAAAGGTCTCTTTCAGAGCAACCAAGTTCTTCGACGTTTGCCGTTGCACAACGGCTTCGACGTCCTTAGAACGACTTGGAATCTTTTAGCATACCAGTGGCTGAGCTCAGTGGCTGAGCCCCATCTGCCCAGCGTTTTCTATGCTTACACGCACACACACACACACACACACATTCGGATACTCTCCATCGGGGGAGATTAACTTGAAAGCTGCCATCTCCAAGAGCCTCCCAGATAGATTCACTCACCCCTCCCCCCTCCATTCTGCTCGAGATGGTTCGAAGTTGAAGGTTGACGAGGTTTGAAGAGGTTTGAAGAGGTTTGAAGAGGTTTGAGGAGGTTTGAAGAGGTTTGCAGAGGTTTGAAGAGTTGGGTGCAGGGCTGAGATGTCATCTACAGGTCTAAGCCGGCCTTCCGCAAGCCTTCTTCCACAGACATGCAGGCCACGAGGCCTGCATGTCCCTCAATGCATAAATCAAGGGACTAAAGGACAGACCCTTATAAGCCTGTGGTAAGCAGAGGGGCCCCTTGGGGAGCCTTGTGCACGCGGCGCAGCTGGGAAGGCCGAGGGGGGGAGGGGGGGGCACGAAGACCGGCCTTCACATGTGGATATACACGTATGCGCTGGGACAGATGGTTCCCTTCTTGCAGCCCCGGAACATTCAACGCGTCCAACTCATCTTGGCAATAACGACGTAGGTCCTGCAGGCCAAGCAACTCAACAACACATTCGCGCACCGATCTCAAGCATGCTGGCATTCAGCTTTGCAGGTGTTCTCACGGCCACGCAATCACGCACGCCTGCTGAAGGAGGAGGGAATGCACTCTCAGACGAGATCCCCTCGGGCACTCATACGAGTCTGTGTCCCAGAAATATTGTGAAAGAACATGAAGCAGCCCCTTGCCTCAAGTTCAGCATTCCTTCCGCAAGCTTTTCCAGCGTCAAGTGACCGCAGCCATCTGTATCCAGCAAATTGAACAAATCATTCGCCAGTAGCTCAGGAGACACCTGCAGCATGTTACCATGCTTTGGGACTTGTAATTAAATGACGTGCAGCACCACCAGAATCCTTTAATTAGTGTCGAGAGATCTTTTCTCGAGAACGGCAAAACTCCGATAAATTAACTTCAAACTTCAAAATGCCGAGAACCAAAATCGAAACAGATGCAGGCGTGAATTCAAAATAGGCTGCGAATCAAAGTCTGCAGTCCTTTTTTCACCGCTGCTTACAAAAAACTCTTACAAAATGCCACTGGTGCCAAGCCGTGAGCTACACCGGGACATGCCGAAGCCAAGGCATGCCGAGCCTGGAGTTTCTGCAGCCATGTCCTCATTTTTAGAGTCTCCATCAGGCCTGTGAAAACATCTACCTGAGTGGCACGCACTCTTCGCTGGCACGGCGACACCCGGCAATGCCTCGAACACTAAGCTCCCGGCATCGATATCTTCTTCGTATAGAAGCAGCTCCAACAAGTCCTGCTTAAAAATGGCCTTCTCCCTGCTGAACGCCTTTCCAAAAAGGCACGTGCAACAGCCAAGGCCTGACAGGCACCAACCACCATCGTACATTTGGCTAAGACCACCTAAAGCGGAATGCGCCTTTATGGATGTGGGTGTAGTCTTCTGGCAACTGGAATTCAAAAGGAGAGGAGGATGCAGGCACTTTTTTTGGGCGGCCCTATGCGACTCTCCCGAAGCTCTCCCATCGCTTAAGTCTGTGAGGAAACAGCAAAGGAGTTGGCTTTGAGGAGTTTACTGCACGTTGGCAGCCCCACTAGCTTGCTCCAAAATTTCCGGTCCACGGCTACTCTGTGAAGTTGGAGAAATGCATGGGGGAGTTGTGGGGACTGTGAGGGTGGGGGTGTAGGTGACTGTAAAAGCCAGTGCCAAGCTATTCTCGCGCACTGTGTTGTCCACCTTGCCCTTCTCCTACCTGGCCTTAGGCCATCCCCTACTGTCCCTCCCCTGCATAAAAACGCATGAGTAAAGCAGCAGTTTCGTTCGATCTGTTCATGATGCTGCCTTAGTATGTGCCCGAAAAATTTGAGTTGTCGCTTGTGGATGTGATGTGTGAGGGGTGGTTGAAGGGTGAGGTGTCTGATGTCTTGGTTGGTGTGAGTGTGTTTGTCAGGCTGGAGCACCTCTGTGAAGTAAGTGCTGCCTATTCTGCAGATCTTCCGAAGGCACTGTGAGTGAAAGGCCTCCAATCTGTGAAGATCTGACTGGGTGAGGGCAGCTGACTCCATGCCATATGTCAAGAGTGGGACAAAAACTGCATTGTAGATCCGAAGCTTCCACTTCCTGGAGATATCTGCGTGTCTCCAGAAGCTGTGAAGTGCATTGAAGTTCTTCCGGGCCTTGGCAATGCGCTGAACCACATCTCTGTGAGAAGAGGAGTCGCTGCTCAAGATGACCCCCAAGTATTTGGCATGGTCAACCTGCTGGACGGGAGTGCCATCTGTGAAGTTGACCGCGCCGCTGGAGGCAGGGGATCTCAGCAACATACACTTCTTGACATTCAGCCTGAGGTTGCTGTGAGCAGCTGTGGTTTGAACCGCATGGAGAAGCTGTTCGGTTTTGGCGGCAGTGCCCGACATGAGAGCAGTGTCGTCAGCAAACGCCAAATCGTAGAACGCCTGGTTTTGGCTGTAAAGCCATGGCAGATTTTGCCCGTTCGCTGTGATGGCAACGTCCACGTCGTGCATGATCATGCTGTGCACAATGAGGAACAGGTAAGGGGACAGCGGGCACCCCTGCCTGATACCTGAACTAGCTGTGGCGGTGGAGCTGGTGTGTCCCGCAGCGGACACATTAAACTGTGGGGCCGTGTAAATGTTGCTAATGAGATTGGTGAGGTGATGTGGGACGCCGTAGCGCGTGAGTGCAGTGTGGAGGGCTTGGGGGTGGATTTTGTCGAAGGCTTTCTCCCAGTCCAAAAGGACCACATAAAGGGAGTTGCCCGTAGCTTCTGCCCGCTCCAGCTGTCTCCGCAAGATGTGGGTCGGCTGTGAGGTTGATCGGTTGGCGCGAAAACCGAACTGTGTGTCTCGAAGCCTGTGATCCAATCCCCTCTGCAACCGAAGATGGAGAGTTTTTGCCAGGAGCTTGTAAGCCGTGTTGAGCAACGAGATGGGCCGGTAGCTGGAGGGATCTGTGAGGGATCCTTTGCCTTTGTAAATTTCCACCACTATTGCAGCCAGCCAGTCGTGCGGGACCTGACCTGTGAGGAGAGCTCTGTTGAGGATCTTCAACAATGCTTGCTGATTCTCAGCAGTAAGCCACTTCCAGGCCTCGGCTGGAAGGCCGTCCGGCCCTGGAGCTTTGTTGTTGGCTAGGCCGGCCACCGCGTCTTGGTACTCCCGAATGCTGATGGGACCGACGTTGATGTCGGCAGCGTCCCAAATCGGGGCTGTGGGGCCTGTGTAGTCCTGCTGTGGGGGGGCCCAATGCTCGTCGCGAAGGTAGTCCGCGAACGTTTGCGCCTGCTGGGACTGGCTCGTCATGTGGCCCTTCGCGTTTTTGATGGAAACTGTACGCGGCTTGTAGTCCGAGCGTACGCGTTTGATCCATCGCCATTTGTCGCGTGGGTCCAAGGCGGCTTCTGACTCCAGAAGCCGAGCTTTGAGCCAGCTGGCCTTGTCTTTTCGCGCTTGCTTGCGGATGCTCTTGTGCAACTCGGACTCCAGGTCCCAGCGCTGTGAGGAGCGGGCTTCCGCCCTCTGTTGGATCAAAGTCCACGTGGCGTCCGTGATCCAGGGGTGCTTCTGGCGAGGTGGCTCCTCTGGAATGCAACTTTCCAGAGCAGCAGCGGCGGCCTGCCTGAAAGGGGCCCAGAGTTCCGTGGGGGTGTCGATGAGAGGGAGGGGTGGCTGGTGGCGCGTGTCGGGAGTGTCTGTGGTGGCTTGGCTGTGGTTGTGGAGTGCCTCTGTGAGGTGCGCGTTGAAGCAGGCTATCTGCTCTTGTGTGGGGTTTCGCACGCGGCGCGGCTTGGCTGGTTTGCGCTGAGAAGCCTTAGTGCGCACTTTGAAGGTGATCTTCACCAAAAAGTGGTTGCTGTTAAGAGCCGCTTCTGGCGCGGTGTCCACATCGTGGATAAGGTTGCGCCATGCTTTGTGAATGAGCGCATGGTCCAGTTGGACCTGGTCGCCATTGGGACGGGTGTGTGTGTAGCGATGTTCCGGTGCTTTCTGCATCCAGGTCTGCGGAACGCAGAGGTCGTGCGCATCAATGAGGTCGCGAAGTTGGCTTTGGTTGGTGGGGCCTGCCATAGTGTTCTCCTCCTCATCCTGTTGCTGGGTTTTGTCCCACTGAAAGTGGGGGCCCACTGCTCCTGTGATATCCTGTAGCTCTTCAAGAAGCTGTGAGTTGAGGTCTCCCACGATGAGAAGAGGAGAACGCTCTTTGTGGGAGTGTATGTGGTTGTGGAGCTGATCCCAGTACTGGTCTCTCTGCTCCTGCTCCTTCTGATTGCGGGGAGCATATGTGATCAGTGTAGTGAATGGGGCCTCGGCTGTGTCGATGGTGAAGGTGAGAAATCTGCCATCGTGCAGTGTGAGGTCCGTGATGGTGGAGGTGAAATGTGGTGCAGTGATCAGGGAGACCCCCGTAGGTCTGCTGGGGCTTGCCAGCATCATCGTACTGCTCAGTGGCACTGTGTGAAAAGGTGTAGCCCTCGATCATGTATTGATCCGGTTGCTTGAGGTGGGTCTCAGTGAGGGCCAGCCAGTCGAGCTTGTGTTGCTTCATGAGCTGGACGAGTGTGTGGGCTTTGCCTGCCTCCAGCATGCCTGCAGTGTTCCAAAAACCTCCTCTCACGAGCCTGTGAGGGGGGAGCTGTATGTCGTGCTTGTTCCTGCTCTTCCGATTGGGTCTGGAGATATGTGTTTTGAACCAATAGGCTCGAGTGTGGGTTCTGGTTCGGGTGTCATGCCGTTCCTGCCATGCTTGCCTGCTTGGTGGGGACGGTGAGGTGTCAGTGCGAAGGTGGTTGGGTGTGGATGGGTTCTGAGGGACTCTGTGTTTGAGTCGCGCGAAAGCTTGGAGCCGCCTTCGAAATCTGTGTGTTCTGAATCTGGGGAGACAGTGTTGGGCTCTGATGCGCTGGAGAGGTGTGGTGGGTCGGGCAGTTCTTCTATTGGTCTGGTGCAGCTGTGGCCGGTGATGTGAGGGAGCTGCAGTTGTGGGGCCATATGAAGGCTGTGCGTTGACCAGCCTGTCGCAGCCCGAACCGACAGGTGGCTGTGGGAGTGCGTGGGTGGATCTGTGAATGGATTTGAGCCAGGCTCTGTACAGTCGCCTGGACTCTGCTCGAGTCGAAGCTCGTCGGTGTGATCTTCGGAGTCGTGCAGCGGAGCTGCGAAGTCGTCTGTGGTACTGTGCTTTTGTTCTGGGGTGTTGGTGCTGTGAAGTAGGATGAGAGGTGGGTGCGGTGTGTGGTGTGGGCACTTCGTCGCCGAAAGGCACATGCAGCAAACCTTCAAAGTGTTTAGAACGAACAAAACTGTGAGGTGTGTATATACATGAGGAATGCAGATGGCTCAGCGCACCCGGCTCACCTATGGGAGGTGTGCAACCATGCAACAAGCTTCTTTCCTTCCACTCACCCGAATTCTGCTCAGCAGAAGTCTTGAAAAACTGAGATCGTCGAGGCTCTCCTGTGAGAGTCGGGCTGTGAGGGGCTCGCCTGCCATCACTTCAGGACCTCACCGAGAGGGCTGGCCGAGACCGTCCCGCAGTAATGTGAAACTTCTTCTTCACCCAATGCTCCCAGTCCTGGTCTGACCACTTGCTAATGTCTCCCCCCTTGCTGATGAACTGGATCTTCTCCTCTTCGATGTCTGTCCTGGATCCACTGCGATGTCCGCCGCATTTGCTGCAGCCATCTGTTCCATGAGCTCCTCGACGGGCCTCATGTACTGGAAATGAAGTCGGTCTTCATGATCCGCGGAGATGCCTGTGAAGGTGAGAGGCCAGGGGAACTCGTACTTGAAGCGAGCCACCCAATGCTGGACATTGTCCTCCTCGCCCTCGTTGTACTCCGGAATGGACTTTGTGAGGAAGCGGTTCAGGCGAACAGCTGCCATGTAGTCCTGTGAGGTCTTCTCGGCTGCTGTGCGAAAGGCCTCTTTCTCCACCTCGGTCTGTGCGATCTGCTGCTTTAGCTGATCGTACCAAACATCCTTCCATGCTGTGAGGATGGTCTCCATGAGCTCTTGGGGGAGCTGAATTTCGCATGTCCAGTCACCCATGGAGCCAGCGTTCATCGTGAGGGATGTCTTTGAGCGAGAGTAGAGGATGCGGCCAAGCCATGCACCAGTGCCGTCCTCTAGTATCAAAGTTTTCCACCTGGGGATCAAGGACTCCTTCTTGAACTTGGGGAATAGGCGCTGGTAGGCGTTCATCAAGCCGTGCATCGGTGCCCCCAATCGCCTCTCGAACTGAGTGATACCTGGGGCCATCTTTATGGGCATCTTGGCTGTGAAGGGCCTGGCTTCCCACTGTGAGGCGGAAGCTGCAGCTGCGTCCTTCTTGTCCCCCTGTTCGTCCTGGGTCTCGTCTGTCGTGGGGGCATTCTCTGCGGGAGTGGCTTCCACTTTCTGCCAGTAGTACACTTGAGCACGATGTGAAGCCTCCATCAACCTCTTCCTGACTGTGAGCGTCGGGACTGTGAGGATGGAGATCGGTGAGAGGTACGGCTTGCCCGTCTCTGCCTCCATCGTCGTGGTTGTGAGCTCCCAATCGATGTGAGCCATGCCATGAGCTTCCAAGGTCTTCTGGATGGTCAACTTCCTGTCGTCTACTGTGAGCCAGTCGGGAAAGTTGCGAACCACAATGGTTCGTTTAGCTGCCTCAATCTGGGTGTAGAGAAGGTCGCGCTCCATCCAAGCTGTCCGGATCTTGAGCTGACGAATTTCTTGTTCCAGAACCTGGATTCGCTGGTCGTGGTGTCGAATTTGGGTGCCAGCCTGTACGAATGCAGCTGTGAGAGCTGGACCAACCTTCTGCTGAAGGGCTTCGGTGATCATCTGTGCGCATTCGGCCCGCGTCACTGGCTGTGAGGATGCCGGATCGCTGCGCGAGATCTCTAACTCCCAATCTCGAGGATTTGCAACTGGGCCAGCTGTGGCCATCAGCGGGGGAGCATCCCCTGTGAGGAGGGCACCGAAGGCGAGCCTCCATTCCCTCGACCTGTGCAGCAAGGGCTCCTTGCTGTGTGCTCTGTTCACTCGTCTGCACACGAAGAGCCTCCAAACCCGCTGCCACCTGTGAGAGCTGCAGGGCAACCTTTTCCAAAATCTCGTTGGAGGAAGCAGCCATGCTGTTACTCTGTGAGAGAAGGGAAGGCAGGAGTGGGGGGAAGAAGCTTGAGCACTCGTGAGCCTAGGATGCAGGCACAGCGCGCGCAACCGAGGTGGCGATCCCGCTGGCCAGGGCAATTTTAAGCGCCGCTTCAAGCTCCAGCTGATCCGGACGGCAGCATCCAAGTCAGCGCTGGTTTTGTTGGCTTCAGAGCCGGCACGACAAACAAACACCTGCAGGCCACCTTTGCCCTTACCGAGCGAATGTTACATGACTACACAGATTAGCCAACAGCTGTTTTTTTGGACAAATAGCCGATATCTCACCATGGCGCTACAAAACAGATCGCGATGGTCTGGATCGCATGAACCGGCTCGCACAGGGAGCGAATCATATCGCACCGGAAGATGGGAATCGGATCGCCACGCTCTGGCTTGCACGTACCATGGCGTGATTCCTATACCCTTCGGTCTCCAATCTTGCATGCTGACAAGCATGTCACTCCTACTATTACATTTCAGCGCACTGCATCCAGAGTCTTTATGTGTTTTGCAACAGTGCCTCCATCTCATTCACATGATCCTCCGTTGTGGCATCATCTTTCGTGCTCAACAGCCTCGATCGGGCAGCTCTTCGTGAAAATGCATCTAGAGAAGCAACTCCCCGCGTCAGCCGTCCAAGCCAAGCAACTTCTCTGCGATGACACCAGTAACCAAATTCATCAAGGACATGCTCGAGATGCAAATGAATACCTGGGGAGAATGAGGGACGGCTTGAGACTTGAGAAGCGCACACAGCTTTCCAAAGGGATCACACCACACAGATCTACACAGCGCTCAAAAGTTTGCCTTTGCGCAGGCATGCGCAGAGAAGATGAGGTACCACGAAGTAGACGCCCCACAGCGGATTTGCCACGGCCAGGACACTGTCAGCGATGTCAGGCCAGGTCTCCATTGTCACGATGACAAAGTGAGTCCACAGTGCCAGCCCAATTCTGCCGAAGTAAACTTCAAGCTCAGGAATGTTGCCCAGCAGGATGACCGTGAACCTATAGAACAAGATGAGGAGACAAGACAAGCATGCTGGCGATTGACCAGAGATTTTGAGTCCAGTTAGACACACATGGTCTCGCATGAAACATCCTTGCAAGTCAAGACTGAGAAACATAGTTCCCAAGTATACCACGATTGCGAAAAGCACTCCAGCCCACACCACCGTTGGAAGTGCCAGCATCATGCCTAAGCAGCTCAATGACAAGAATCCCCGTCGTGCATCGCAGCGCCAATGCATGGAGCAGTCAACATGTTCAACTGAAGCCAAGCATTCATCGACCGATCTCTCAAACGCTGAGACGCCTGTGACCAAGAGCCGCAACTCGTGACAGACCAAAAAGCCGCGCAGAAGCCTGCAGGGCTCCGCACACAGCGTGCGCCGAGCTTTCACAGCTTGCGACACGAATCAAGCCAGGCCTGGCCAAACGCAAGAGGCGTAAAATGCGCATGACACCGGCGATAGCGATTACGGAGCCGTTGCCATCCTTGCTCATTGTACAGAAACAGGATTTGCCATGATTTGTCTAGTACATACTGCGAGAAGCATACGATATCACTGACATCCTGCGGCAATGTGTCACTCGCACAGGTTGGCGGCACAAGCGCATATGACACATTACACTCATGCATCATGCACATTCAATTGGCTATAATCATCATGCAATTGCGGCTTCAAATTTGTTGGGGACCTTCTGTGATGTCCAAGGCAAAACCAACCCAGATGACAAAGCACAGGTGTTCCTAAACGCAGCTGGGTCGAGTCATGAGTCCCACTCGGCAGGCAAGTGCGACTTCTTGTTGACTGGTTGTTGGCTGTCAGGCAATTGCAAAGTTTTTGTTAAGCTAACTGTTCATGACTCCTGATGAGCAGGAAATACAGTCAGCCGGGGGGGCGGGGAACTGGGTCCGGACAGTTTGGGGAATGTGTGATTGTGCTTGTGTTGTTTTTGTTTTGCGGATTGGCGTAGACAAAAGCAAGGCTTGCCTCGTTCCATGTCCAAACTTGGGTCCCGGAAACATTCCGTGGTCAAAAGGCGAGGTCCACGCGCATTTTGTGTTTGAAATCTCGGTCTCTTCTGCATCCCATGCTGAAAACCGAGTGTTGTGTCGGCTCATGTGTCACGAGGTCCCGCACGGAATGCTCAAAACTGCAGTATTAATAGGCACACCCTTACTATTCCCTTTAAGTTTTAGTTGAAAGCCTCTCTTTCCTCTAATTCCTCTAAATTCAAACCCGAAAACTTCAACCTAAACCAATCTCTTGCAGGTCTTTATTGTTCTTCTTTCTCGACAACCCAGAGGGACTAGTTTCTCGCTTAGTTCTTCGAACTCCCGAAGGCGATATCGGATCGCGATCTAACGGTCAACGGACGAAATGGGGCGGCGGAGGAGAGGGCGCGGGGAGGTTGACGCAGAGAGTGCGGGGAGGTAGATGGGGAGTTTGATGAGGAGGGCACGTGATTGGCCGCGAAATTGACCAGGAGGGCGCTTGACGGGGCCACGGCGGGCAAGCCATAGACGGGTTACGCCGATCTGTTTTCACGACGCTGTTTGCGAGCACCCTGCAACATTTCGGTACAGTTGCCCGCCTGAGCCTTTCTGGCTGGCTTTTTTTCAAGTAACATTCTCGTACTGTCCTGAATATTGTACTGCCCGAGGGTGCCTGCAGCCTGAGTACTTCGCATGACATGATGCATGCCACTTTGTCCTTCAAATCGAACAACCCCACTTGTCGGGTGGGGAATAAAGCAGAAAAAGCACAAAGCAAAAGCAAAACAAAAAAGCCCAAAGCAACAATAAATACTGGAATCATTGGGGTTTCGAATGAAATTCCACACTACCTAGCCCGACCCTGTATTCCATGCTGCCTGCGACATCATCGCGAACACTACTGATACGATGTTCTCGACAGTGCCGATGAGAATGATGAGCGCATCCTAAGGTGAATCTCTCAAGAAATCCTCACAACATGTCAGGATGCATGGAAAACGACAACGAGGAGCTGGACTTCAACTCGTGCAGGCCAGGGTTCGAAGAAGCCGGCGGGATTAAAGGGAGAGCAGTATCTCAGACACTTGGGGACACACGCGTTGCGGGAGCTGTGCAGAAGGAAGCAGCAGTGGCACTTCTTCGAACCCCCCACCCGATGCCTGATTCCAATTGACCGCACCCGCAACACGATCTCAATCACAAAGATCGTGTTGAACAACACCTTAGTGCAACCGTCTTGCTGGAAAGCCCAATTGGCATTAGAAGCTAGGTGCCAGGCATGACATATGAGGAATGCCTGCCAGCTGCAGCTTGCAAAAAGCTCGTAGGTTTCGTGGCTGCTCTGGTGTGGTTGGCAGTCTGCACTCTTAACATAGCAGCCATTTGCCAGCGCAACAGACATGTCCATGATTTCTGCTCACAAACCTGCCAGACAGACAAAGAAATTGATCTGTCAAGCCCAGATACAAGGGAAAGAGTATGTGCCAGATCTGCATAATTTAGTTCAATCCTTGGTACATAAACTGAAGCACGATGCTGACACACGACGTCCGCATCCACAGCAGAAAGACTGGTAGAATTGGCGCTATGAACTTCGTTCTTGACTGCTACCTGTCAGTGCCGAATTGACTCTCACAATTACTGACTGCTGCACATGACATTGACACTGGAGATGGCCAACTATATATACAGTGATATGTACATATATATATATATATACATATACATATATATATATATATTACAGAGTTGTTGGCCGTGATTGATTGGAGTTGTCGTGGATGCCTCAAGCCCTTCTTGGTGCTGCAGTAGTTGTTGCCAGACAGCATCTGGTCTTCATGGCTGGATTTATGCTTGGCATTGACGTTGTGCCTGTCTTTACAACTGCCCCTGAATCTATGCAGCCAAGCATCTCGAGCTCAACTCCAATGAAAAAGGCATAAATGGTAATTGTCGCCGCGATGATGATCTCTGCCTAGCTGACAGTCACACTGAAGCCGCATTCGGGTCCCACGGTATACGGCACGTAACTTTGCTGCACATAGCGCGATCAGGTTGTGAATGCTGTGCGCATGTGCACCTCTGCCTTCATACGTTGCAGTGTGCAGTGCATGACTGGCTTGCGCAGCGATGTTCCACACACTCGCACGGACCATCCTAGAATCCTAGAAGAGCACAGCTGTTCAACGCATGTTTCGACAATGGTTCGGCTCCGGTGGAATCTGCAATCAGCAGAGATGACCATGTACAGAGGGTGGTTTGTCACGTCAGTTCGGACACTAACACAGCCTTCCCCTTGTAGATGCTGCTACGGCACGCACTTTCAATTACCAAAACACATGTCAAAAATAACCATTCCCAAGAAAGATGCCCTGCGACCGAAGCACTCATGTAGAAGACACACCAATGCCGAATGGCATGTCCAAACCAGCCGCTCCCGAAGCACATTCTACGAGGGAAGCACGCATGTAAAAAGCACATCAAATCTGACACGCACGTCCAGACCAGCCATTCCCCAAGCAAACGCCCGAAGGACGCCCGGGCTCACAGGGGAGCGGGTCTGTGATGGGAGAGGGGTTTGCGACTAGGTTGTCCGTGTCGCCAAAGCCAGTGGTTGAAAAGCGGGCGCAGGGGCCTGACGCGTGTCGATCCATCGCTTCTCCAGTGGCTGCCCGGATCGCCTTCAGTGACACATCGCAGATCATCTCAATAATGGGTATACCGAGCTTGCCTGTACGTCTGCCTATCTGTGTCCGTCTGCCTGTCTGTGCGCAGATGTGTGTGTGAGGTCCCCGAAGCCAGACACTGGTCCTAGCCTGCCACTTGCAAAGAGGGCACTGCAATATCAAGTCCAGCTCCTTGAGCACTCTGGAGCTTTGCCTGAGATTGACAAGAAATATATCAAATTGACATGAAAGGCCCCAGGTTTTCCATAAGAACAGGAAGCTAGGAAGCTAGTATCTGCTCGCGAGCCTGTCGTTTGTTCACATATGCGCGTTTCCGTCTCACAGTGTCCACGTCTGGCTGCGTGTCTTCAGGTGCATCGCGCATCTTCTTCATTGTGAAGATGTCACGCTTTGATTCGATCAAAGAACCGCATTGTCCATGCCTAATAGAAACATCCTGACTGGAGGCCACTTCCACTGTCAAGGTATGCGAGCTTTGTGTGCATGACGTTGGGCCAGAGCTCATCGTAGGTCAGAAGGTCTTTGCAGAAATTTGACTTAATGTAATTAACAATGAACAGCCAGCTTGTCAGCGGTGAGGATGCAGCGTGATCTGGAAGCGTTGCAATGTCACTGCGCATGCACTCATCCCTACACGTGATGCGTTGTGGAGAGGCGGCACAACGTCGGCTTCCAAGAAAGGTCGCTGTAAACTGACTGCAAACTGACTCTAATCTCACCCGGGGCCGAGCTAGTACAGCAAATTGCAGTATGCATTGGTACGCTTTTTCTCAGGTGTGCAACCCAGACTCTTGACTTGCTCTTCGGCTTGTACGTCGACCTTTGGACAGGCAAGTTAACTCTCCTACTTGCCCGACATCTCTGCGCCAACTGCGCCAACTGAAACGGCGAAGCTGGGGCTGGCGCCCATCGGCTCATGCTGAAAAGCGCGCTGCTTTTCAGGTTCCAGGCCCCCCTAGGTCCCCCTAGGTCCCCGAGTGCTCAAAGACTCCTTGGACTCCTTATACTCCTTGGCGGACTCCTTGAGGGTGGACTCAGCTCAGTTGAGCTTCCTGAGCTTCCTGAGCCTTTTTCCTTCAGGGGTTACTCTTCTTCTAGGGTTCTTAGCGAAATTGTGCGCGAGGCTCACGAAGCTGCTGTGCTGTGCTCTCCTTGTGCTCTCATTCTTGATCTGCTTCTTGAGCCACAACACACTGACACACATTTCTGACACATTTCTCAGCAAAAGGATACAGGACAAAAGAAACACCAGCGCTGCAACCACCCCCTTTGCCTCTTTGATTGCTGCTGAAGTGACCTCCAAGCCAGCTGCATCGTTGCCCTGCACAGATCAGCAGAGCACATAGTAAGCCTCCCCTGAACACAGATGTTGCGCGAACGCAAGAAGCTCTCCAAAGGAACTCTTTCTGCCGCCTGCTAGCGCTTCAAAACTATGCATGTGCACGCCCAGTTCCGTCGTGGCACGTGGGCGTGCAAGATGGTGCAAGCTTTGAACTCAAGCCGTGCGTCGAAATCATGTCATTCTTTAGAACCACTCACAGCACATCCCAGGAGTCCTGCTGTCCATCTCGGCCAAAGGTCGCCTGCATCAGGACCTCCACAGGCTACTTTGACTCAACCTAAGAAAAATCAGCACTCACATCCGCCTGATATCGTGCGCCATCTTGAGGTTCCCGCTCCTTCAAAGACACAGCCAGGGAATTCTCGGTGGCCAAGCAAAGCCGAGTACCAGAACACGTTAACACGGCTGGCTGGGCGCTGGTGCCTGTGGCAAGCGCATGCAGCGGACCTGCGCACTTCAAAGGATACCGGAACGCCAAGGCCAAGTAGTTGAATCACGAATACCTGTATGAAACTACACCACCGACCCTCATATTGTAGAATGCGCGGGAGGGGAGTTGGGAGATGAGGTGGTGCAGTGGAGGATTTGGTGATTCGGTGGAACGTGTGGCGAGCCGGGAAGCGCTTGGCGGCTTGGCGGGGAGTGGTGGGGTGCTCGAGTCACGCTAGCAGCTAGCAGCACGCACACACACACACACACACACAGGTTCGCACCCTCTTTCGAAGGAGTCGTGAAAATATCAGTTAAGTTCCCAAGCTGATCCCAAGCTGTCACGACGTGCTCTTGTTTGCAGATACGTCATTGAGCGTCCGTCTGAGCCTCTTTGTTACATGCCCACTCTCCAAACGTGGGGCATGACTCAACTAATCTCCCCTGCAATTTACGAATCCTTGGCAAACAGGTGTGTACACACGTCGTAACTCATGATTCGCCACGATTGCGAGAAAAGAAAAGAAGAAAAACCAAACAAAACAGCATTCACCACCCCACCAAGCCCACGTCAAGGGAGAACATGTCAACCTGAACTTGCTTTTGTTGTCTCAGCAGCCTCGAACAAGCTTGGTTAGAAAGAAGAAAACTGTCAATCACTGTTGTATAAATAGTTTGGCTTGAAGCTAAGCCAAGGAAAGGAACCCGCTGAAAATTGCGAAGTCCCGCCTTGGCAGCTGCCCAGGCAAAGCCGAAACGCCTGTTTGTTGGGAGGGCATCAGTGCATCTCAAGCCCAGTCTGAGGTATCCGTAATCCGAGCCGCACCCCCAATACCGAAGGCCAAAGTGTCGACCCCCTTCGTTCCGGGACCCTGGTACTTGTAAGCGTCGGCTCTTCTATAAAAAACCTCTGCGCACCTGGCCTTCGCATATGGACAACCCTAAGAACTGTTTACGAGGCCTATGGACCACCCATGACCACCCCATGGCCCTCCTGCGGACCCCTCCCGCAGACACTGATCCTGTGTGGGCCCCTATGAACTCTGTTTTGGATGCCTAGGAGTCCCTGTGGTCACGTTGAATGGCCTTGGGCCTGAGAGCTTTGGAAACCTTCTGGTGGCGTTTGAGTTCTCAGGTCTATAGAGGTTTCGGCCTCGCAGGGAAACCCCGCCGAGACGGGGCACACTGAGGTTAACATTACAACTGGCAGGTGAGCTTCACATACCCAAGCTCGGCACTTCCAGCTGCTGCTTTCAGAGCAACCGCGCACACGCGCCCAGTAACCTGCCATGTATCAACAGCCACGTAGAGACCGGAAGGAGTTGAACGGTTGACAGGCCGCCGCGCTTCGCGGGCTCGTGGTTATTGATGCTTCGGCTTCGGTCAACTGAACCTACATTCTGATGCATGCAGGTTAGAGATAATAAGGCGCTCGCCAAAAAGGGTTTGAAAGCACGTCTGAACAAAGCAAAGTTTTTGGGATGGAGGGCATAGAACTTCCAGACGCAATCGAAAGCCCCAACTCCATCCGTTAAGCCCATGCCTCCCCAACTCAGGAAGCCACAGTACCCCACGTGTAACGTGTGACAAGCAAGGCTTGCGTAGAACACTGCTTCGGCAGAGCGCACTGGCCTAAGCACATCTCAGCACCGCTTCAAAGATCAAAAGAAGCTCATGCGCAAATGATCACAAATGGCTACCTGAGCCAGACATCGCAAGCCGCGAACTTCCCTTGGAACCCGAAGAAGCTTGGTCCATGGCACAAAGAATACTCCTTGTCGCAATATGCTGCAGTCAACGGCACTGGGACAGTGTCAAGGCTCAGTGCTTGCTGCAAGACGTGGCCTGAGTGCCTTGCAGGGCCTCTTCTGGAACACTTGGACCACCGTCAAGAGCTTCTCCGATGATAATGTCCTCATTTGCTATGCGCACTCGCCTTGCCACGTCATACGTTGACTATCGGGATCTTCGACAACAGGCCTGTCCCAGTTGCTATTCAAGCGGCTTGCTTCTTCCGCAACAAAGATGCCGGCAGGCAGTGTCGATTCAGCTCGCCGGCATATGCATGCCTAGGCTGCATGGCCTTTTTCTTTTCTGTGATTGTGAACTGTCACACTCAAGCTGGATGTGTGCAACGAAATGCACATCAGTTTTCCTGTTCGTGCTCGCGAGCAGCTGTCTTTTCAAAAAGTGCGCCGCGCCCTTCGTGAATGTCAGAACGCTGTTTGGGGCAACTGGCGTCATTGCACAGATCCTTCCCAAGAGCTGGCGTATGTGACGGCATGTAGATTTGAACACATGCTGCCGGGTTGGGAAAAGAATCCGCAGAGCAGCACGCAGCAAAGCTGATTCCTATACCCGAAGGACCTCCCCCAAGCCCACAGAAATGCAGAACGAAAAAATCAAAGGAGGGAGAGCAAGAGAGAGCGAGAGAGAGCAAGAGAGAGAGAGCGAGAAAGAGAGCCACGGACAGACAAAGAGACGGGAAGTCACAAGCACAGGCTTTCCGAACTATTGATGTAAACCGAACGCGAGCAATACGACGTGCAGCGTTGGTTTGAGCTGAGCCACTTCACGATGTTTCGTGCAAAAAACACATGTCGGTGGTTATGGACACCGGCTCTTGCATGAATCATGGATGTGTGTAGAAGCATGTCAAAACGGCGCGTGCCCAGCCGGCCCTCCTCTTTGAGGTCGGGAGTGCAGTAAAGTTCGTGTACTGAAGAACAGAACCGAAGCCTCCAGGCTCTAATGGGAATAATCCACTTGTGCTGTTCTTGCCCGCGCACTTTCAATCTGACGTCCCACTTCTCTCGATGTTCTCGCTCGTGAAGTCTTCTCGCATTTAAACAAAGGTGGTTTGAGCTTGTCCGCCGTGTTCATCCCCAAGCAGACGATCACTCGTATCCTAGCATCTGCGACGCAGTCTTCGCTGTCATCTGGAGGGTCATTTCTCAAAATGTTATTCGTCCAAAGTGGGTCACGGAATGCGTATGAGGGGGCGCCTCATGGCCAAGACCACAAACATATGTTCGCATCTAAAACTCGCCTTTGCCTGCCAAACACGCTAGCCTCTTCGCGACAACTTTGGGTGGGGGGTATAGTCTAACAGGCATATGGCCGCGAGTCTAAAGAGTCATGCAGCTTTTACCCCGCGCCACCCTTTTTCGCGGCTACGGCTGCTCACTTCTACCTACCCCCAACCCACCCCAGCCCCACCCCTCCACCCCCGCCTCCTACCCCTACACCTCATGTTTTTTTTTCTCCCTCCACCCCTGCCCCTTCCCCAACCCTCCCCACCGCCTCCCCGCCCTACCCCCTCACTCCCCCGCCTTCGGATACCCCGCTCACCCTCCAAAGAGCTAGCTTTCCCACTTTGCTTCGCCCCTGCAGTGGCCACAAGCCCCGGCCGAAGAGGGTCGCATAGCATAACACCAACCATTATTTAAACAATTTTTTGAAAACTCAACAACTGTTGATACTCAGTGCCTGTTCAGCGGGATAAGTGTCTGAGCACTGACACGGACAGAGGGGACGGCAGAGTATACTCGTCGCAGCAGTCGCAAGTCGGGTGGCCCGATACCTGCCACTGCCGCAGCAATGCATAGCGAACAACACTGTAGCAGGATGTGGGAGGCCATCTCAAAGACATCTTTTTACCGACCAAATTGCCTCGGCCCATGCATCTCTGCTGCCGACACCAGAGAGCAGCAACCTCACTTTTTGTGCACTGACTTTTGGTGAGAAACGAACTGGCAAGTTGACATCTGTGACTCTGAGTGGACACCGGCTACACCGGCTGGAATCCACCGTCGAAAGATTTCCAGTAGCGCTGGGGCACAAACAGCACAAGCATGGAGGCCATGACTCATCATGAGCGCATTACTCGATAGCTCCAGACACTGCAAAAGCTCTGTGGAGAACGACCTTGTAGAGGTATCGCTGCCGCTAGTCATGTTTACATAAGGTTTTCACCACGTGCAAGCAGAGGCTGTGGGCAAAGCGGCCAGTGAACAAAAAGCGTCTCTGGCGGCATGAAACGGTCAAACGTCAATCTCCTGTTTGCACCAGAGAGCCCATCATCAGGCACACAACACATTTGCTAGCTCAGAAGGAGTGCAGGTCTGACGAAGGCGTCTTCACGTTTGGATGATGCAGCGAAGAAATGCCCACCGACAGAACCTGAGCAAGTCACTTGAAAACCACAGCAACTAGCACGAGGCGGCCAACTTGGTTTGCTGCCAGCATGCAAACAAACACCGCGACAGAGACCAACGCACTCACCTGAAGCAACAACAGCGACAGATGACGACATCACAAGTACTACAACCATGCATTGCAGCCCAGAGCTTTTGCATAAGTCTGCAGCTGTCTGAATATCAGTCAGCGATATTGACTGTAAGGAAGAACAGAACAAGGTCTGGGTCAAGCACGAACACGGCGCGGCCACCGAGCATCTCGAAACCCATCAAAAGCAGTACCTGCAAAGCCGCTTTCCTTCTCACACTGCTTTCAGCGTATTTCCTACATATGGGAGTCCAAGCATGTGGCCACAGCAAAAGTGGATCTGGTCAGGTTGGAAAGGTTGAAGAAGTCCCTGAGATTCCACAGCTACCGGGTCAATCCATGCATCCACTGGAGACGTCCAAATAAGGCCCAAACCTAACAACGAAGAAGAGTGACCGGATTGCAAACAAAGCCAACGCCGAAGAACTGCACCAGTAGCGATGATGCATTCGAGCAACGCACATCTCATCTGCTGCGAACTATGCTCAGTTGTCGTCAAGGCGTGGCAAAACATTCCGCGCAACTGCACCTGAAATTGATGAAAGCATCTGGCGTCGCTTCAGATTTGGCAAGGACAACCTGGGTCTCTGGGTTGCTACATCAGTGTCACCCGGATCCACTGCCACCTCAAGAGGCATCGGAAACTTAGGCAACTGCATCGAAGTTCAACCCAACATTTAGCACGACAAGGCAGATCCTTGGTCCCGCGAGTACATGCATGCTAGATGCCGGGGGGGTCTTGCCCGACCCTGAGCTTTGCACAATACCACTCCGAGCAATGTCAGGCGAACCTGTGCAAGGACACTGCTGCGCAACAGCACCATGTTACTCTTTCCTATCTTTTCGGGGCCTCTCTTATGCATTATAGAGCCTTCTTTCACATACCGCGGGACACTGCCCATGCTCCAAGAGAGTGTGCAACAAAATAAAGATCTTAACTCTCACTTTTGTCAGACAACGTCACTGTGTATTCAAATCCACTTCAGGCTCAGGACAACATCTGCCGGATATAGAATGCATTGAACACAGCTATGATGCATCTCGCAAGCGCAGTGGAAAGTTCAAGTTGGACACCTCACTTCGCCAATGCGGTCTTGGTCTTCTTGCATCCTGGCCTTGCCCTTCGCCTCCACCAACAAGGCCTCTCGACTGCACAGCATGCATAGCAACCGAAAGAAGTGCTAGAAGAAAAAAGAAGCCACAAGCACAACCCGAGTACAAGAAGCAGACATAAACAGACATATGTATACAATGTATACATATGATACATATTAGAAGGCGCTTCCTTCTCTGCCGCCTCTCTGCTCTCGGCATTTTGGCTTTTCCCTATCAGCTTTCCAGCCTCGCCCTCCTCGTCGTAGAACTCACCCAGGCGATCACCAAAGCAGCCGCGCAGCAGTCGCACCACCTGAGAACAGTAACATGCGGAATCATACGGGCTGCGGCTGCTTACATCGTCTACATCGAGCTTCCGAGTTTCACAAACAGCTCAACCATGCTCTTTCATCAACATAAGTCAACATGCCCGGGAGACTGCTGACTCCGACACACCGTCGTTTGATGCAGGGCTGCTCAGCCTGGAGATTCCTGCATGGCATCGTGCCACAAATCGCAATGTGAATCACAGTACGGGCCGGCGCCTGCATAAAGCAGAACAGTGCCCAGCATCCAGCAGCCAGCTCGACTCGCCACCGGATTGATTCCATGGGCCTTCGGCCACTGCCCGTATGTGCTGTCAAGAACGCACAAATGCACTTAGAAGCACAAGAACCAGGGCTCACGAAGCTGAGGAAGCCGATGAAGCGAAAGGCCATGGTGCCGATCATGGCCAAGTAGAGTGCCTGGAACAGTACCAGCCTACACCCGTATGTACCGCTCAAGCATCTCTTTCCTTATTTTGCTTGTGCCGCAGTCTTCGTTCGATGAGAGGATCTCACCCCTGCCTTGCCCATCAATCTGTGGGGTGTGTCCAGGCTGCCTGTGCACTCACACGCACTCATGTGAGCTCATGAGCTCATGCCTCAAGTCCGCGATAACATCCTTGTGGAATCTTGTGGATCGACGTGTGTCTTCCTTCTGTCCATTTTACAATACTTCGCAAACAGGCATCCATTGTCACATCATGTTACTTCTTCCCAGTTACTGCAGCAGTTAGGAGTAGCAGAAGGCACTTCCGGGGGCCATTTCTTATGAAGAACTTGAAGGAACCACGAGCAGCGGCAGCTTACATCCGATTTGCCGCCATGAGTCTGAACACAAGCTGCATGACAACGACCTCACGCACAGGGAAAGACCAACAGTTCATGATGCCTGCTTTTGACCTGAGGCCACCACATGCTCTGCTGAGTACAGCAACTCCAGGAGATACCTTTGCGGCTTCGAAATAGCATGTGCAAGCGCGAATACTACTGCGAAAGGGTTCGAGAAGACTGTAGCAACTGTAATTGCTGCAGCACAGCTACCCAGACAACCAGGAAATCCCTGCCGTAGTACCAGCACACACCCAGACCTGAGGCAAAGTTGTGGGCCACAGCCTCTGCTTAAACTTCTTGCGACACACAGCACAAGAAGAGACCCCAAATGCGAACATACCACAAGATGATGCACTATGCCAATATGCCGACACAGCTGACAACAGCGTGCAGGCAGGTGTGGGCCAAGTGGTGAATATCCCGTGGAACCCAAAATGCAAAGAGCCCATCACATGGCCTCCACGCAACAAGCCAGGGCAATTGCCATCCATATGAAAAGCACACTGACCTCACATTCAACTCAGCCATTCGATTCCTAGAGGACCATATTGGCACAAGCACATGTACTGGGAAGCGGGACGTGTGCACGACGCGACTCGGGCAGATTCTGTAGCAACACAGCGTCCTTGGTACAACACTCGGAATTGTCAACTCCAATTTACAACGACAAAGGTCGCTCCAAAGCAAAAAAGCCTTTTAAACTTTCGCCGAGCAAATACACTCTGTCTGTTGAACTCCGAATCTGCACATGCAAGGTGCCTCTTTGCAAGGTGCCTCTTTGCAAGGTGCCTCTTTGCACGGTTTCTAGGCATGCCTCTTTGAGGCCTTTTTTCAGGCCTTTGCGAGGCCTGAGCTTGCTAAAGCTTGCTCACGCTACCCTGGCATCATGGGCTGCGTCGCAATGGCGAGGCCTGGCACATCTGGCACACAAAGATCACCCCACAAAAATGTTTTGACTGCAAGCCTTTCGGCGGATTCATGACTCATTGCGATTGCTGATCTAAATCCGTCTGAGTGTCCATACTCTCTGCGCCACGTCCCTGGTTCGGGCTTCCAGGCACAGCGCTCAACGGTGTCCGCATGCTGTGAACGCGCCTAGGTCGTCAAAAAACGTCACGAAAAATCAGGAAGTAGCCAGATGCAAGAAAGTGCAAAAGACGATGCGAAAACGTGATAAGTAGAGATGAAACAAAACGGAAAAGACGAAAACATGAGTATATGGCCTTGCCTTCTCCAGAGTCCGCTGCATGAGGTACTCGAAACCTCTTCGGGAACTTTCAGACACAGAGAATACTCTCAGAGCAGCAAGTTAGAGTGTGGGCAGAACGCGCGGCCGCAGAAGGTGGGCTAGCACCCGCGTTTGTGCCGCCTGCTCCGATTGTGCTGGCACCTTGCTGACTGCGCCAACTCCTTGTGCGCCGATTGCGAGGACTGTGTTGCGTCGATTGCACCGGCTGCGGCATGACGATTGCGCCGGCTGATTGCCGGTGTGAGTGATGCATGCAAGCGGTGCGGGCGGTGCGGGCGGTATGGACGGTGCAGGCGGTGTGATGCACGTTCTGGCCTCTGTTCCGACCCACAATGAAGCAACACCGGTCCTTGAATAAAAGTTTGGTGGTCCTAGCTTGGGCGAGCAAGAGATGGCAAAGTCACACGCAAGAGCAAGCGGATCCTGACTATCTTCACAAAACCAAGCAACTGGATTCTGATGCTTTCACACGAAAGTCAGAACCATCTCGCTGGTGCAGAACATCCCGACCCTCTCTGTCATATTTCACGTCATGGATTGTCCTCAGCAACGCGCTCTGGCCAAGCAATGGCAGACTGAGCACACGTGCAGGGATATGTAGTCTGAGGCAAGCGCAACTTCAGAACTGGTTCCTGCTCCTGAAGAAGGCATCAGAGGGCACCATAGGGCACCATTCAACACGACAGTCGACAAAACATGTGATTGCGCATGGTTCAGGGCATGAAACATTCCACATGCGCTAAACCATTGCTTGCGCTGGGTTTGTCTTGCGCGGGAAAAACAACTCCGCATGGCCCGTGCGACGTGGCTCAAGCAGGGTGGCTCAAGCCGCAGGCGAATGCACAAATCGAGAAACGCACATCTCAGCAGGGGTTTGAAGTGATTAGAGCCCTCCCTCTTGGCCCAAGCGGCTTTCGCTGTTGGAGGCGTTAGGAGCTACTACGTTTGTGCTTTCTTTTTTCGGCATCTGGTTTGCGGAGCGATGTCGGCAGAGCGATCCGGGTCCCGAATAGTGATTTCGGAGCGATCTGGGCCCCAAATAACCACAAACCACATGAAGACCTCAAGAACCCCAAGAACCCAAGAACCCTAAGAGCCCAAAAAAAGCCCCATAAATGCTCTTAGAAACCCCAAGCCCTAACAATCCCAAGCCCTCAACAATTTAAACCCAACTTCTAACTTTAAACCCTTAAAGTTTCAACCCCGGGGGGTCGCTCGGAGATGTAAAGAAGAAGAAATTTCAAACTCTAAGCCTTTGAAACTATGAAATAGAGGTTGGGCTTGAGCCCAGGATTTTATTGGAATAAATTCTTGCGGCCTCAAGGGTCGGATAGGACGAGCCGAGGATGTAGACGGACTCGCGAACTCAAATCTGAAGAGGCCCATCTTGCAAAAGTAATATCCCGCGACCCAACCTCTCAACATCTTCAAGCGATCTAAGACCTTTCCCTCCCGCAAAAACTCCCAACTCTCCAGCTTGGCCACAGATTCGTCAACTAAATTTAGCAGACGAATCTGGGTGCGAATCGAAGCCCCCACCTGCTATGACACCCAGGGCCCCGGCGGCCTCCCTCGGCCTCCCTCCCACTGACCGGTTTAAAAGTCCCCACAGCGCAGTTGGGAGGGTGGCGGGGGGGTCTGGGTCGCAGTCGGTTCCCCGGACACCTTTAAGAGAAAGACACTGAAATTTCATGTTCCCGAAGCTCCAAGCTTGTACCCGAAAGTGGTACGGGGACTGGGGCCGCAGGCCCCTTAACTTGGCCCTCCTTGCGTCCTTCGAAGTTTGAAATTCTTGTGCAAAGTTTAGGGCTTAAACTTTAAGATTCCAAGTTCGAAATACCTTCCCTTTTTGTCTCCGAGGGCTTAAACTTTAAGATGTGTTTTGTTTGAACCCTAGTTACGTCCAAGCATCTGCCACAGATTGTCTTTTAAGATAGCGGGGCAGATGTTTGTGGCCCACGTTGGCCTACCATAGACGACGCTAAAGACAGGGGTCTGAAATCTACCGGGCCTAACGGGCCTGAAAGCTAGCCACCCTAGATCAAAGACCCCAGCCTCTTCACCTGTAGAGACATCAGACCCTCTAGCATTGAGGGGATAATTGAGGGGATAATCAGGGCCACATCAGAACCTGGAAACAACAAGCAGTATCGCTCAGTGCGTATTGGCACAAGCTCATGCCCGTGTTGCGTCGGCATTAATTCTGAACCATCCGAGTAAAGGCCAACTGTCAATGCTCGTGCTCTACTTTCAGGCACCATGGCCTCGACCTTCTCAACTTCTCGCTTGAACTCCTCACTCGGTGGCTTCACCAAGACCTGCTGTGACCAGTGAAGATGCGGGACTTGCCAGTGCAGCCTGCTAAACGCTCACGCAGCCTCTTCATAAGGCATGAAGCGATGCGGCCCCGGCTGCTTGTATTCAGCTGCCATTTTGCTGGTCCGTTGCCAGAAGTCTTTGGCAGTAGCATTGTCCTCTCACTCAAAACGTGGGCACTGTGGCATACTCACACTAAACTCTCTAACAGATTGGAACATATTCTTCAACGACGAATGTACAGCCGTACTCCCTTCAAATTCCACGCCATGTAACAAGTATGAATAAGACAAGTGGTGAGCAGCACCTGAATCAGCTTTCCGAACAAGACATGAAACCTCAGATTGGGAGATCTCTGCAATTCCAAAATAGTTGAACATGCAGGCTGCATGCTTATTTCATTCTCAGCCACCAGAAGTATTCGAGGTTGGGCCGCTCTTTCGCTGGCAGCTTCCAGTGGGCATGGACTTTCTCTTGCCAGGCCTCAAGCAGCGGGTGCTGAGCCCGGCTGGCCAGGAAGCTGCTCCTTGGAGCCCCACTGTGCCGGACTTCCCTGAACTTCCCTGAATGTCTCTCTTGGTATAAGATAACTAAGACAACTGTATAACTTGTATAAGCAGGTCGCTAGAGCGGCACGTTTCTACAAATGGTGGGCAATGCACTCCAGAGTGTCGGGATGTCGCTGCGAATGCATCTCGACTTTAGACTGTGCAGCGTTGCAGCGTTGCGGCACTCCCAATACATGCTTTAGTCAAGCGACATGATTGGAATCTCCTCGCCTGCATGGCATACAGCCACTGCAGCCACTGCACAAGGCACCACCACAGTTAGTTTTGGCTCACAACGGCCCATGAGTGCTGAAGCTTCTCGCACACCATCGAACCCAAACAGCACAAGCCATCTCCCGCTCCTTTCTCTGGTCCGAATGCAAAGAAGCCATCTGCAGGAGCTGCAGCAGTATCAATCCAGTCGTCGAGTGGGCGTCGACAAAGGACTGTGGCATCTGCCCAGACTCCTTTAACATCACACAGCTGAGAAGAGCAAAGCTCTTGTGAACCTGTTTGTACACTCGGGCCTCCATAGCGAATCAACAAGAAAAGCCGCAGCACATCCGCAGCTGCAGCAGGCGGAATCCAGGAAAGGCCCAGCGAGGCTAAAGGATTGTTTGCCTTGCAGGGTACGACAGCAGTGACAGCAATGGTGACATTTCCTCGGGAATGCTCGGGTGCCTCGCGGGGTTTGATTGGGTTTGCCACACGCAACAAGCCCTGTACTTAACCTGTGTTAACCTGTGCTAATCCCAGCACTTTGTGGAAAGCTGCCTTGCAAATATCTGTGAACTGCTTGCAGTAGTCATGGAGAACATCGGGAAGAGACTGCTCGTCAAGGGCACGCACTTCCCAACCAGGGTTCCAGAGCTCAAAGGATTTCCTTGCCACTCGCACCGCGAGGCATGAGACACAAATCAAAAAGCCAAGTCTGAGCGTGATCCCCTATCATTCCTATGATCCCCTCCATCACCGTCTGCCGCCCATGAACCGACGGCAGGAGGTATATGGATGTCGCGTTTCAGGCTCCCGGAGGGAGCGCGGAGGGTATTCTGCCAACTAGACTGTCTCCAGGCTCAGACACTCCAATACGAAACATGTGCGAGAAAACAGGTGTAAGAACATCTGTAAGAAAACTTCGAGGCCGCTTAGTTTACCTAAGGTAAAGCATGGTTCTTGCCGGCACTCACTTCCGTGAAAGCAGAAGTGACAAAATGCTTTTGCTCGTACTGCATTTTTCCAACAGCAACCACCCATTTCTGATTGGTCGGACGATGTGTTCCTCTGCCCTGGTTGCGAGCCACATTCCTCAAGAAAGATAACCCTCAATAAAGCCAAAAGGGTTTAGGGTTTAGGGTTTAGGGTTTAGGGTTTAGGGTTTAGGGTTTAGGGTTTAGGGTTTAGGGTTTAGGGTTTAGGGTTTAGGGTTTAGGGTTTAGGGTTACCCTAAACCCTAAACCCTAAACCCTAAACCCTAAACCCTAAACCCTAAACCCTAAACCCTAAGAAGGCATCGGCAAAATTCCTGCTCGTTGAGCTCCTGCACTGATGGCCTTCCACTCCTTCACCTGATTGCCTCCTGACCGTCCCTTGCCTTCCCTAAACCCTTACAACTCTCGGGCAGGGTTTAGCGTTGACAGGGTCTATAGGTCTTAGTGTTTCGGGTTTATAGAGACCAGCACTGCTCAGCTTTGGCACCAAGTAAAGGGCTGTAGAGGGTTCTCTTGCCTTCCCTGAACCCTTGTAGCTCCCTAATAAATCGGGTTTAGGGTCTATAGGCTTTTCTGTTCAGGGTTTACAGGGTATAGAGGTTTGGCGGTTTATAGGGTCTGCAGGTTCTCGATCCTAAGGATGCTAAACCCCAAGCCCAACAGCCTGCGGGGAAACTTGGTGACGTCGTGTGAAAATTTGCACAAGTTTTCAACTAACAGAGCTTTAAACACACGCAGATGCGTGGGCGTCATGCAGGGAGTGCAAATCAAATACCGTCGAATGTGGAATGCCGGAACCCAAGCTTTGCTCCTCGTAAGCTTGGGCATGCTCTGTCCTGCTCTTCTGCTCTGTTGAATTCGTGTCCTCCGAAGCAATAGAATGCAACGAATGTCTCTGAACCCGTGCCATGCCTATTGGACTTAGGCTTTGCGAAATCTCCAAATGCCGTGTTGTTGTTGGCCCCCCACCCCACCCCCCACCATCCCCTCTGCAGAACAAGGAAGAACCATCCACCTTGCCCATACCTGAGTTCCTGTCGGTTTGGCCGGATGGGGGGGACTGTCCCTTACATCTGCTACCCTGACAGCAGAACAGGTCCCTGAGTCTCACATCTGCTAGGACGCTAGGCTCTGCCATGATTGCCATGCGTCTTGCACATCTGGCAAACATGCGGTGCACGTTCCCATCCCTGGAACCAGAGCATCCAAACAATCTTGGGAATGGTGGAGCCATTGCTCGCACTGGCAGACATTGGACAACTCCGAATCACTACCGTGGCTGTCACGTGTCCCGATGTGAATACGTGCTGGTGTTGCATACAATGGCACAAATGGGTCAATCTGTGTCAATCTCACTTCCACCTGACTTGATGCATAAACTACTGTAGCCATCTTGTGGTAGCGCACGAGACGTCACATGTTTGATCCCGCTTCTCCAAGCTTCTGAAAGCTTCATTCGAAACGGTCTCTAAGCAACCAGCTATGAGGAGCAGCAATCCAAGAGCAACGCCAACAAAGCACCTTGGCAATTGATGGCACTTGTCAAAGGTCAGAGCAGGTTTGCCTCTGTTTTGAGGACTCGACCACTCTACTGATGCCTGTCCCCAGAACATGAGGGCAAGACCTCACGCGTGGCCCTCACAATCCCTCACATGAGTGTCACATGCTGTGACTGTGAGAATCGGCAGCACGAGAGCTCAGCCTTCATGGCCAGATCGATGGTGGACTGTCGGCACCTCGGAGCTCTTGTCTGGCGGCTCGCTCCGAACACGTGAAGTGGGAAAACGCTGACAGCCAAGGATCCACCGAAGTATCCACAGCCCAGTGCGGCCCGAATTTTCGTGCCGCCCAGAGCCGGGTGAAAACCTCAATCAGGACAATCATCTTTCAAGGTTGCGCCGTCTCCTGTCCAGACACCATGCCTCCGATTGTGAGGTCCAGTGAGTCCACCTCAGGGCCAAGTTAAAGAGCTCAGCAGAGGTAACATGTTACAATGAAATCTGCACTCGGTGAGATCTTGTGCAAAGTTCAAGCCGTCGAGACGAGGCAGATGCCTCTGGGTTGCGAGCTCTCGCTCCCGCATCAACCTTTCTGAACATTGTTGATCGTCGTGAGCATAAGAGCAGCGTACGATGTTTGCGGTGGTGACGATGCGTACGGCGAACTTATCTGAGGAGTGGGCACTTCTGGAGGACTTCAACCATTCTCTGCAAAGTTCTCTGGGGGGGGGGGGGGGGGGCGGCGGGCACTCCAGGGATTTTCGGGGCATTGCGGTGATCAGGAGACCCGGCCGAGGAGAATACCTGAATTGAAAGCTAACAGACCCACAGCACCATGCGATCAACGTCCGCCGAAACCCTGGCGGGGCGGCGCCCGTGAAGTCTTTGCTCACTGGAGTGCCCCCCGCCCCCACCTCGTTTGGGGCAACTAGGTAGTTGTAACATTTTTTGTTTTGCTTAGCCAGTAGTAACTTCGTTCTGACTTGTGATTTTGGGTTTTCGGGGGTTGACATCTTAACCTCTTCCACGAAAAATGCGGCTTTGCCTGAAGAAAACACAAAGGGATTGGCTTGGGCTTGGCTTGGGCTTGGCTTTGCAAGACAACGTCGGGTCAGCAGAACGAAAAGCATCTGGAGAATAAGTACAAAAACGGTAGCATAGCCAAGGGACACTAGAATAATTTAAAACAACAAAAAACATTGTAACAAAAGCACTAGTAATAAAACAGGGTCGAGGACAAGAGCTTGGAGCGGCTTTGCGGGACTAAGGAGAAAGGTACAGCAGATGAAAGCAATATCAACGGCTTGTACGGTATCTCAAACCGTAGACCAACAACCAGCAGTACTTGACCGAAAGTTACAGATGTGAAAATGCTCGCGAACCACGACCCGCACTCCAGAATCATGGGTTTGTCAAGGTTTGTCCGTGGCTTCTGAGGCTTCCACCGAACTTTCAGGAGAGCCTCTGCTTCTGGCGAGTGGCCCTGCCAGTCGGACATGGCTTCGGGACTCCACTTCACGATTTCAGCGATGTCAGACAACTGACAGAGTAGTGGCAGGCGTATAGATGCACACAACGCTTTGACAAGCCCAAACACTCTTCAGGCTGCAAGCCACCAAAGGAGCCACTCCGTCAAGAATATTTTTGTGGCACTCACTGCGCAACATTTGGTCAAGCAGGCTCCAAGACACGGATTGACGCCTTCAAGGACCGCATCGAAAGGGCCTCCGATGATATGCCGTCGGTTCGCAACTCTCCATGTCTGGCTCCGTATGGCCTGCAAGAACAGGTGAGATAAGAACTCCACCCTGTCACTAGTCCAAATACTTGGCGGATGCTCCAGGGAATTCTCTGCTGCATTCGTTGGGCTCCGGGGATTCTCTGGAAGGCACCCCCGGGATGCTCTGTACACTGCGGGAGGGTTTAGGGTTTATAGGGTTTAGGGTTTAGGGTTTAGGGTTTAGGGTTTAGGGTTTAGGGTTTAGGGTTTAGGGTTTAGGGTTTAGGGTTTAGGGTTTAGGGTTTAGGGTTTAGGGTTTAGGGTTTAGGGTTTAGGGTTTAGGGTTTAGGGTTTAGGGTTCTATGGAAGTGGGCACTCCAGGGATACTCTGCAAGGTTGTCTGCAGATGTGGAAATGGTTCTGGGGTTGCAGCGGTCTCTTCAAGATATACGAAATTGACTTGCATTCTACATCATTCTACATCCTGTGCATTCTGTGAACTTGCCGGTGCCTCTGACAGAGTGCCGGTTGCCAGAAGGTCAACCTCACACAGCGGAAGAACTGTCGCAGTGGTCATTTGCAGCCTTGCGTTGAGGGGCCTGGGAATCATGCTGCAGGACAGACCCAAGCACGCTCGGTAAACATTCGGTACATCTAGAAGCTAGGCAGGTACATGCACACCACGTCAGGGCGGAGGTTTTAAGCTGCTCCCCTGCCTTTCCACGGCCCCCTGCCGAAACAGCCAACTGAAAGCCACAGGCACATGTACACCTAGCGAAGTTGATTGCTAGTGGCGACTATTCGTTTCTTCGAGCGCTTCCCCACTTGAGCTTGCATTCGCTCGTTTGGGCTGAGCTTAGCCGCAGTAACCCTTCCTTTGTCACGTGATCTTTGCAGAACTCTTGCGGCACCTTTAAGACATGTAGCGGCACCTTGTCTGGGAGACAAGCAAGGAACCTGAGAACAGGGTGGACGAAAGCTAGGCTCCCGTTGATGGCAAGCGGCCATTCTTTCGGCAGCGAGAGCTCTGCAAGCTCAGAAAATGCGAGCCAGCATCGTTCATAAGCTGCAGGGGGGCCCTGAAGGTCAGCGGGGGCCACCAAATCAAGGAAAGCACCCACCCCCCCCCCCCCCCCCCCCCCCCCCACCCCTGTGACCCTAAATCGCGGGGTTAAGCCACGCCAAGTCCTGTTGCCCCAAAACAAGAAGCTTGCAAACAAAACCTCTCGCATGCTCCAATGAGCTAGCTTTCGAAACATGCCTTTGAGGTCGCTTCAGGGAAGCTTGGGCTTTGTCCGAGGCTTCACGCTAGGAGCTTCTGAAAGCTTCTGCATCAGTACGGAAGGAATATGTTTGCTCTCTGATTTATCTTTGACATCTGCATTTTCGTTAGTAGAAAACCGGTATTTCCCTCGGCGCAGCAACCCCCATTTGCACAAACATGATGCTCCTTTGAACGGGTCGTCAAAAAAGGATTTGCATTGAATAATTGGAAAGTTGATTAGATGCTCTTTCTTCAGTGTTGACGTTGGCTACTTTGTTTGCGTTCTGTGTTGCGATTTCCCGGTGATGAAATGGTGCTTGGCACTGTGTGTGGGTTTTGACACCTTCAATTGTACTATCAGAGCAGTTGTATTGTGCAAAAAGGTTCGCCCCGCTTTTGAAAGGCAGCCAACCCCACACATCTCTCGTGTTTTGCGTTTGTCCTGTCTTGCCCCCATTGTATTAAAAATGCTCGCCAACGTTCGATATGTTTGTATCTATCGTTTTGTCATGCGCTTCTTTCTTTCGTTGCAGCTCCCCCCATTTCAATGTTCGTAGAACTACAGTAAAGGGTTCGCATGCTGTTTGCTAGTGGCTTTCGTCAAACCTCCGGCTCGGCCAGCAGACGCTGGCAACAGGGAGAGTGTTCTGACAGATCCCCGCTGCAGTGCTTCGCGTGCCCTGTGCGCAGAGGGCCGAGCAGCGTTCTCTGTGCCTGATGCTCCTGCACATTCCTTCGCTGAATCCTTTCCAAAAACCCAACAATGGGAGGGCCCCCACCCACCCTCCCGCTCTTTCAAGAAGAAACCACTTCATAAACCGTCGTGGGCAAATGGGCGGCGCTCCCCCCCCCACACCCCTCACTCCTTTAAGCCATGCAAAACTTTGTGCTTCAAAGAACGCATTGCCATCAACGACATCCCTTCAAAACCCACGTGAGTCCTTTCTAAACCCATCGTGCGAGCATTGCGTTTGCACATGGGGCAGCCTGCCTTGCTGTTTGAGGCAATGCAGACTGGCTGCAAAGAACATCGCACCATCAGGAGTATCTAGATGCCGCATGTGCTTGGAGACTGCTGGCTAGGGGACAGGAGCACTATTGCTTCTACTTGGGGTTCGTCGCGACGTGTCGGGACCACTGCCAGCAATCAGAATGGGCAGGTCAGTTGGCAGCTGATGGTTCCAGCGGCAATGTCCCCCGACATGACGCCGACACATTCGAGGCGCCAAATGAAAGTCACGACCCCTGGCGCAGACAAGTCCGCCCCACCACATACCGCAACAACCGCAGCAAGAGGTGCTATATCCCCGGGGGGGAGGGAAGGAATCATCCGTCTAGGCCCACATGGCTCAGTCTACATGTGAAGTTTGCATGCCGCAGTTGTCATGCACTAGCTCCTTGGAACAAAGCAAGCCATGCAAGCCAAACCCAGTGGCACCACCGTCAGGAGACATTGAGAGAAGCAACTAGCACGACACATAGTACACTACCTTGTCACAAGCGGTCCTTCCCGTTTGATCCCCGCCTATCAGGTAAACCCGACAGCAGCGTAAAATAAATTGCTGAGCCAACCACAGCACAAAGAGGCAACTGCGCATGGACCAACAACCTCAGCGTAGCAGGTGCAACCCAGTGCCAAAGTTGTACCATGCTGCCCGCGAGGCCGCGGGGCAGTCCAACCTTCAATCTGAAACTACACCCTCGCCGTCTGCGGAAACCATCAAACTACAGCGTCGTGAAAAAGCAGCCAAGAGTCCGTACAAGTGGCCGCGCGGCCACAGGATGGTTCACTACTAGGAATACAGCATCTTGAGATATGTACAGGGCTGCGCGGAATCACAGGCAGCATGCTTCTGCTTTCACAGATCATGCCTCATCACGTTAGCACTACCGTCACTGGCCCAGCTGCACTCCTCCCACGAGCGATGCGCGAGCCGGAAAGCGAAGTCAGTGTTCTGAACTGCAACAGGCACAACGCTTGTCACATTGTCACGTCATGATGTCTGTTGTGTTCAATGTTGTGTTCGATCTCGGTGCGGTACCAGTGGTAGAGACTTGGACAAAGCTGGTAACAAGGTGTGCGAATGCGTGTGTGCAAGTTTTTGTCTTTGTAGCTCTCTAGTGATGAATGTGATGAATCACTTCCATCATCTTCCATCTTGCGAAGCGGACCACTAGGCCACCGCCAGCTCCTGCCAACTCATGATGCGGCTAAACTCAATTTGACGAAGCTACCGGACCGTTTGGCATGCGTCCTGCTCAAGCTGAGGAACCTCGGCCAACAAATCAGATCAGCAGGTCTGTCTCCAAAGCAAAGTACCGATGCCAGGCCTTGACGATCTTCGTATTGCTAAAGCAGCAACACCCCTCAAGTTGAGTCTCTGGCCAACTCGTACTTGCCCAGGATCAAAGGCCCCTGCTGCCACTGCAACACCTCTGACTCAGGACCCTGCAGTGCAAACATGTACACGAACATCACTTCGATTGCAACTAGGTAGGATATGACTGACCGTATGTAGAAGAGCGGGGCACCCAAGGACCGTCTTCACCCTTTGCGACGGCGTCCTGAACCTCAGGGACTTGCTCAAGGGAGCCACCCTCTGGTCGACACCAGCACAAAACTCGATGATGTGATCCCGGCCTGCTTGATCAAGGAGATCACGCGTCCGAGACGGCGACGTGCAGCTAAGTAGCAGCGAAGTGAATCACAGCACGAGACGTTTAGATCTGAGCTTATAGGGAACCTTGAAAGGTCTACCATGGTCTACCCTGCGCCCCACATCGTGAGTCTCGTGGTGACATGTGGTGACCGTGCACACCCTTGCTGAGTAAGTTCACGGACACCGATGACAGCGCAAGAAACATGAGCGACTTGGAGTCGCAAGCGATCGGCCCTCTACTAAGCCTTTTTGGCTTGGTAGTCCAAAACTCACAGGTTTCCTGCGATAGCACAAAACATCTACTACTCGCTGGCGAAATTGAAGGCAGCCAGAAAGAGAATCTCTGAGGGCGACGTTGGCAGAACGAGCGGCTCAAGCGATACCATCGCGATACCATCGGGATGGGGCTTCAGGGACCAGAAATGACCACCGAGTTGTGGGGACAACCACAGCTCAGTGTTTCGATCATCATGTGACGCATCAGGAAGGAGGATGCTTGCCAATGGTGCCTTCGGCAAGCCTTTGAAACACTTCACAAGAATGGCTCAGAGAATGAATCTCGCAGATCAAGGCGCGCCAGATGGTTTTGCTCCTACAGCTACCAGCGAATGAACGCCTTTGCTGGCTTCCGTCTTGCTGTACTCAAAAGCTACATTCCTTCGATGGAGACTCAACCAGACAACGCAGGGGAATTCGAAATGCATCATTCGTGCGCTTTTCTGAGTCTGGACCAAAGCCTATGATCACCTTCACTTCCATATCCTCACACTTAGTTGCTTGCGTTTTCTTCGCCGTTCTAGAGCTGTCCGGAACCTGCCTTTGCAATTGTGGGCAATGGCTGCAAGATGTGGAAGTGCATTCCTAGACTAGAGATCTTCTGCCAGGTAGCCCTCTTTCCCCTTGTATCTTTTTGTGACGTACCTTTGCCTGAGCTTTCTGATGCAGAAAAGCATAGAAAAGCAGTATCAGCTCTAGTCCCGGGCTCTTGCAGAATTGTGAGTTGTCGCTTTTCCATTGTGCATGTAGAATTTGCAGATGAAACCGCTAAACCGCTTTCCCTGCGTGACATCGGTTGGAGTTGGAAACAAGAATACTTTTACTAACGCCAATTCCGAAAAACAAAAACATGTAGCGAGATTTTCCGAGTGATGGAGTTACTATGGAGTTACTCGCTCGAAATCTAAAGTGGTTGGACTGCACCTACAAGTGTTCTGCGAGGGAGGTCGCTCGACGATTCTCTGGGGACTCGAAAGTCGATGTTCAGCTTTTCATCGTACATGCATAATCCATACCTTCCAACATCACTTGCTCAGCTGATGCATCTGCGAAGGTAGAACAAAGTGAACAAAGCTTTACCGTACAGACGCAGTCTGGGAAGCAAACCATCCTCAAGCTCTGGCCTGCAAAGGCGCATCGATGAGAGGCTTTGTGTCACTGCAACATGCTGAGAATCAGACTTCATTGCGAGAATGCTTTCTGGCGAGTTCTCCACAACCTGGCATTTGCCAGATGGTCGGAGTACATCAGATTTCCCACTCCCACAGAAAGAGGAAAGAGACGGACGCTTTTTGTACGTTTCCAATCAAAGCGGCGGCGGCGGATCTTTCAATCATGTGTGCCACCAAGCGTGAAACACTCAGAACCTGGACAGGTTTCTGGCCTCAAGTGGGTCTCATGTCAGAACTCGCTTTGATCATCCCAGATCCTACTTGTGGTAAGGAGGACAAGGCGGCAGCCCATTCCATGCTCTGCGGCCTGACCATCCTGCGGCACAACGCCATAACTCCTTTACGCCTTAAGATTGATCAAGAAATTCAAGAAGCAAAAAGGTTCCCCTGCCTCTTGGCTTCGTCCACTATACATTTGAAGCTCACCGGCTCAGTCTCTGCCAACAAGCAGAGACTCTTTCTGTCCACATACATCTGGCAGCAGGTCATTCCGTCGTTCCCCAAACTAGTCTCGTGACTCTTGATGGCAAGCACAGGCTTCAAACAGGCATGGGATCGCATTGGCTCGAGAAAGCCCATTGATAAGCCGAGAATAAACCAGTCCATGTTCACGGGAGGCCTTGGCAACTCATATTCTGAGGCCAAGACGCTTGTTGTCCTGGACTCCTTCCTAGCGAGGTGACAATCCAAGTCTTTAGCACAATCTTAGTTCGCACGCAGCCTGCGGTGTTCCTAGCTCGTCCGACCACGCGTCATACAATGATGTCTGTCAAACTAGGAGCACGGCCGCATTGATACGGGTGATCCAGAGAGTACGCATCTGCCTCCGCTTCTTGATTCTCATCCAATACCTGCCAGAAGATTTGAGCGTCACTTCGTGGCATATGCAAGTTGTATATGGCGACTCACTGGACTGCAAACACTCAGGAATGGACAGATGATTCAGCTCCTTCATGACTCTGACCGTTGCCAGCTTGAAGCATCTTTTGGAACGACCATACATGCCTCCAAAACAGCTTGGGCATCTTAACAGCCATGCGACCGAAACACCAAGAGATCATGACGTTTGCCTTTCGCCACTGCGAAGACGATCTCCCGAGGGATTCGTCCAAGCCTGACGGCCTCCATCTCAACACAGCATGAGCAACTGCATCATGGGCTACATGCAACAAGCTTCGCTTGTTGCATGCTTTTCGGCTCTTTGGCTCTTTGGACATATGCGTGCGAGCCGATTCTGAGACCATGGCTGAGAGCAACATCGCGGCACCGAAGGAGGCAATTGCGGCAACGGCAGAGTGGGGTCGCTGTATACTACTGTATACTGTTGCATTCTTTGCGGTCAAGTCAGGAGACTAAACTTGTCCGTTTGGAACAATCGAAATTGACTTGCCATCAGCTGCAGCCATGACTGTTCATAAGAGCTCAAGCCTGCCCCCCGCACACACACTGCGCCATGCCGGCGCAGAAAAACGTGCATGTACAGTCATGCACACAATGCGCACAGACGCACGGCCTCACACCCATGCACCCACCAGCAATGGTGCACGGTATCGTACTCAAGCACAGCTGCATATGCACTCACACCCGTGCTGATTAGCACACACCCGCATACACCCGCCTGGTGGATCTTTCCACTTCGCTGTAATGCCAGAACGTGGCAGTCCTCAAGGCACAAAATGTTGACCGAGAAAAACAGAAAAGAGGCTGTTGCACAGGGACCCGGGCAACTTTGCCAAGCAACATTTTCACGTATGTAGTGATCGCCTTCACCTGCGAGCATCTAGCACATTGCTGACAATGCTGCATGATGGTCGTTCCATGGGCCGTTTCGTAGACCTCAAAAATGCTGCAAGATCTGCAAGAAAACGCCAATCCCACATCTCGACGTCGCTATGGATTGAGGCCTTTTGACTTCGAATACTACAAAACTCACTGCAATGCCTCGTCCTGATAGTACCAATTCCTTGGCAGCAGCTGGGAAACATGTGACTGGTAGTCACAGTCAAAGATCCAGTTGGTGGGTGATAAATTTACATAAACCGATTGACTTTATGTCATGTTTTTATGTTAACGTATATGTAGTACATATACACACATATATATATATATACATACATACTTTTAGAAAAATGCTGACCCCTCTACACCTACCTCTCGCATAAAAACCGTATGGAATTCCCAGATTCTCAGATTCCCAGATTCTCTCACTCAGAATCCCAACTTCCCAGATCAAGATTCTCCCGCCCATTACTCCCATTTTCTCACCCCATGTTCTAGCAAATCTGCGAATCTGGGAATCTGGTATATTGGGCGAGAACATCTGGGAATCTGGGAACATAGGGCGAGCAAATCTGGGAATCTGGGTACATGGGCCGTGCAAATCCGGGAATCTTGGACCTTCTAGGAACATCTGGCACGCAAATCTGGTGAGAAAATCTGCGAACGGGGAATCTGGGAATCTTGGAAGTTGAGGTGAGCAAATCTGGGAATATGCGAGATGAAGCTAAACTAAACAAATCTGAGAATGTCAAATTACACTGCAATCCTGGGCATAGTTAATCGGGACGGATATGTTCGAACATCGCAATTCGCTACGACAGCCTTTGTCCTTGTGGCATCTAGGGACAATCAGTGCTTGCCTCTTCGGGGTCCATCAGAGGCCCGGAAACGGGCACAGCAGACTGCTCTAGCTCACATCATATGCTTGTGTTGAAATGTGAAATTCTAGCATCTTGGAGAATTTGGTCTCTGTGCAGGCATAGGAGTTATTTCTTTCCAGCCCTGGAGTTTGATTCTTTGGGCACAACCACTGGTGTGGCTACAAAAGCCGCACATGTCATGAGCGTTGCGGGATTGCCATCCCGAACAATGTTTGCCGCAATGCCGCAAGGATCCCTAGGCCAACTGCATGATGTATATACATGTTAAATCACAACAATGTTTAAGTCCAATACCCGGAAAGCTCATGCATTGAAGTAAGTCAAAGGCACATTTCACTTCAAAACGCTGGAGAAATGTAGACACTTTATCTGCAACTTGACTCATAGATAAATACACATTTTTACAGATTCATATAGATTGGTTAGAAGCACACAAGCTGTCGCCCCTTTACTTGGTACTTTTTGGCTTAGATTGGGCTAGAATGTTGGCCCTCCTGAGCAATAACTTGCACTCCTCAGGTTCTTGAGAGCAAGAAGCAAACCATGAACACACAATAGCAGCGCACAACCCATCAACAGCTTTTCGAGACAGTCTGTCAAGTCGGGGCACTTGTGTTCCAGCTCCACACTCCGGCCGCCATATTTCTGGGCATGGGCTGGAGCCTGCATGTGCAATGTGTTGCAATGTGTTGCTATGCCATGCTATCCCACGTTTGGCAGGGCCCTCCAATCATCAGGCATCGAGTCCTTCACAAGGAAACTCACGCCATTGGTCTCAAACTCCACGAAGCGATACGACTTGTCAAGTTCGCCTTGGCAAGAGAGTGCCATACAATCAATCTCATTTGTCACTCGAAGGCTCCTCTAAGGCGAAGACCTGCGCTGTTTCCGGCGATCTGTGGCAGTCCAGTGATCATCAAGTTCCTGGAATAATGTCGAAGCAGGCAGTCCAAGTTGCAGGAATTTACGAACGTGCACAAAGCATCGCCAATGTTCCAAACATCCTCAACACACGAGACGTTGCTAGCCGCTAGCTGTGCCAGGGGCAAGGCTTCATGTCATGAACTAAGCACGAAATGGACACTGGCCATCGCTAGCCGAAAGCCGTCAGCATTTGGAGGCTATCACAAATGTCAGCCATCGGCCAACATCGATGGCTGACATCACTGCAATCCACTGGGGCCCGAGCTTCGTCTTGTTGTCTCCATAGGCCAAGCGTCGGAGGGCCGGTGTGTAGGTCCCGTGGTTGGAGACCTCTCGCAAAACGCAGACTCATCTTTACACTCTTTACACTCTTTACACTCTTTACACTCTTTATACTCTTTACACTTTGCCAAGAACTTGGCTACTTCGGCTGCTCCTCGATATCTCCCAGTCGGTACCGACCATACTGTTTGTGCAAGGACAAAGGCGTGCGCTTGAAATGATTTGATGGTTCGGGAGCTCGCGGCCTTTGGATGCGCTTGGATTGCCCTGAGGCTGCTGAGCGTCTGCTGTTTTCGGGCTTGAACATATCGAAGTATCGCCCCATCAGGATCTCCACGAGGATATACGAGGATTAGGCTTAGCGTGCGTGCCGCCAAACGTGGCTTCTCCGTTGCTGCAGGGTGAAGGTGTTGGATGTCCCATCTAGTCCAAGCTGTAACTTTGCACTGTGCTCTGTCTCGAAGAGTTCCAGCCATGCAGTGACACGTGTCACTTTCATGCGCACCCCCGTGTTTTGGAGCATGATGGATCTGGGTCTGGATCCCCTCGGCTTCCGACTTCGACATTCTTCGGATCGCTTCGAGAAGCTTCCAATCTCTTCGACTCATTCACCATACAAGCACTGCTCTGCGCTGCTCTGCGCCTCAGAGCGCTTCCATGCACCTCTGTATGGAAAGCACCTCGGGCACTCAGTGCTTCGGCACTTGTCAGTTGTGAAGTACTTTCAGCATGAATCCGAGCTTGAAGCTTCATCCTGTTGACGTCCAACAGGTGTTCCATCACCAATGCCTGGTACTCAGCAAATGGGAAGCCACGATTCAATCCAACAAACAGCATGCAGCATGCATGACCTGTCATGGCAGCCCCTCTCGTCCACCCGACTTCCACAGAAATACACAATCTCGATCTCCCTCAATGCCCACCCCCACCCTCAAGCAGGGCATCATGAGCTTCAGCGCGCGGTGTGTCACCATGCACTTAACGAATCTTACGAAGAAAAGCCGAGCGACCTTGCCATCTGGAGCTTTGGAAATCTTCACGAGATCGACCGGGTTGTTGTGCTGCAGTGCCAGATGCGTGTCTCTCGTTCGTCGGTAATACCACAGGTCTGAATGTCCGGCCTGGCCCTTGGGCATCAAGAAACGCGTCAAGTTTTCACTTGCATATTCCATCAGAGTCCTGAGGAGAACCATTCACACCACAGTATTCATGCGGCAGTATGCACAACACGTTCTTTTCTGAGCTGCCAGCACAAGAGATGAACGATCGCAAATGATGTCTTTGTCCAGAGAGAACTGTTGTTTTGACGAAACCTGTCGTTCAGCTTCAGTGGACAACACATGTTGATCCGCACCCACATCCAAAACCTCATACATATTGAAAGTCTTTCAGCATATCACGTCATACAAACTGAACATGCTGCCCATGGCCAATCAGTTCACGCTACCCGTTTGCATTATGGTGGGCATGACGGCGGCATGACCTGTGTACTTTTCAGCAACCATGTGTGCCAGAATCCTTGCTTGCGCCACACGAAAGCAAAGGGTTTTTGCAAGGAAGCCCAGCTTGGAACTTGTAGGTCGGGGGTCGCTTTCAGCAAAAACCCGCTGTGGCATCGGGCCGTGTCTGGGTAGCATGAAGCAGGTACCCCACCTCGAACCCCCCTCCAACATCCCATGCACCCTAGGCTTCCCATGTTTTTATGCAAGTCCTTGCAAGTCCACTTCAAGGCTGACGTTCTTCAACACAGGGGCCCCCCCATTTGTATTGCGGGAAGACAGACCGATTGACTGACTGACCGGACGTCTGGCTCCAGACGGGAAGACAGACCGAGTGACCGGCCGTCTGGCTTAAGAGAACAAAATACACCAACTGACTGACTGACCGGTTGTCTGGCTACAATGTGAAAGCTGGAAAAACCAGGTTGCCTACAAGTTACAGCGCTGGCAGCATCGGAAGAATCTACATACAGAACTCTCAGCCTCAGAAATGCAGCACTTGCACCCTCATCACATGTAGAAATCCAGATTGTGAGCCTAATCGGAAGGCATTGCTGACTCAACAAACCCATGCCGAGGAAACCATAAACCGTGAACCTTTATGGGTTGGGGTGACACATGGTCCAGGTTTCGGCTAGGAAAACTTCACATCGCCACCCGCAAGACAGGATCAGAAATACGCAGCAAATGCCGCAGCTTACATGTAGCATCTACTTCGGTCATCCCTACATGGAATTTTCACGAATGTTCCGCATATCTTCGCCTGCTTCGCTGTTTCGTAGAGGCTACACTTCTCTGCCACGTACCTGCCAAGCATTAGCGATCCACAACATGCTTGCAAGTTGCACGTGTAGAGGCCCGAGATTTCAGTCCACATGGAAAGGTCAACTGCCGAAAGCACGAAATAAGCAACAATGGCACTGGACATAGGCTTCGTCCTCCGTAGGCGGCCTTTTGGGGCCCTTAGTGCTGACGGGGCAAACTGTCATTTGTTCGTACTCTTGTCATCATTCAACAACAAGTTGTTGCTTCAACTCAACAACGCTGCTCTCAGACTTTAACCCACAGAATTGTCTGCGCGGCAGCTTGGTCAGGATTGATAAAGCCGCACATAGCCACGAATACTGCTAAGAGGAGACTAGGCCCTGACTTGGTCCCAGCCCATCCCTGCCCTCTGAGCCCATGCGCCGGCTCCTTTTCCAAGCGTTTTCCACGCCGAATTTGCACGTACTCAGGAACCTGCAAGATTATATTCACAAGATGCGCACAAAGGTCCCCGCAAGGCCATCAGAGTCTCTCCAAGAACGCAGCATGGTCCGGGTCAACTGAAAGACCAGTGCCCAACCGGCTGGCGGGCCTGTCCCGGAATGATGGTCTCCGCTGAACCAGCTTTGATCGTGTAGGAGCCGACCTTGCTACAAAAAAGGTTGACTGATCAAGCTTGCCTGAGTCTGTGTGCCACCTCCTTGACGTCTGATGCTTTGAGCTCTGCAAACTCAGCTTTGTAGAAGTCCTGACGCTTGCTCAGCTCAGTTTCCATTGTTGTGCATTCAAGAATGGACCAGTGCCAGATCCCGCCCCCGTCTTTGCATTTCGTGTTCAGCTTTTTGCAAGCGCCGTCTTCCCAGATGCCGGGCCACCCTCTGCCCTGCTAAGTTTACTTCGACCAACTTGTTCAAGTTGATATCTCTAACTGGGCTTCGTGAATGAATCTACTCGGCAAAAGCTGTGCCAGACAGTCAAGTGAGCTCTGCACTTGTCAGGCTTTACCAGAACACTCTAACCTCACTGCTTCACTTCTGTATGGTCGCCCTTTGAAGCTGTAGGAGGAGGCAGGACGCCGCAAATGTTGGCACGCTTGCATGGGGGCTCACATCGAGCCTCACCTGCAGCACGTTACCTCTTTGAGCTGCGCAGTTGGTGGGATACACATTAGAGGATTCCCAACAGCACACTTAGCTTCGTAGCTTCGAGCACAAGCAACCTTGGCAGATTCGTGTGATGCAGGGCAGGCACCTGGGTCTCGAAAGCAGCCATGGCCTGACCCAGCTTGCTAGGCCCGCTAGGCACAACATCCCCAGCATCTTTTACAGAATTTCTGCTCGTTGAATACAAACGCCCCCTTCTTGTGTCCGCACCACGCAGAGTACTGGCCTCTGTGACACGGCTCAGCGCCATGCGCGCAGGAGCCTCCACCATGCGTGCAACTCGAATACAGCGCATGAATCGTATGAGGAAACTTGTGAAATTTCGCAGGGCTGGCCTGCTGCCTGTATCTGGGGTCAATCTCGCACTCTCTGAAACCTCGCAGAACCGAACAAGTGAGTTTGTGCGATTCTTGGTAGTCACTACAGTAGTAGACAGAAGCAGTGCCAGCACAGATGCGACACCATGACAAAAATGAGCAAAAAAAAACGGATCTAGGCCCTTAATGACCCTCAGGATCTCACCATGCTGGCCGTAGATGTAGTTTCTGTATGGCTTTTGCTCCTGCTGTCCTTCTTCCCTGTCATATCAGAGCTGAATGCTGACAACGTGCACCGCATGGCATGACATGCCAGCAAGACCAGTTCGCAGACATCTTCTTGACATCATCTCGCCATCCCCAGATGTAACCGTACCTACACACCAAGAGTGCACAAGTATGTAGCATTAGAGAATACAGCCCAGCTTCCTCGTGACTCGGGACCGCAGACCAGCAGCAAATGCTGTCACTGCCTCAGTCTGCTGCGCTTACTGGCTTCTGAAACAGCAGAGACACCGACGCCACTTCATTCACTTCATCGTGTTGGTGAAGTAAGCTTGCTTGCTGCAGCCGCGAACACCGTCGAGATGGTGGAAGCACCTAAGGTGCCGCACTGTTGCTGACCGCTCCTAAGCCTGTCACAGCTTGAGGGGCACGAGTTCACATTTCAACACATCTACCAAAAGAGAACCACTAGCAGCAGTGCGGCAGCATGCGGCAGCAGTGAAAAGTATGGGCTTTCGTGGGGTTCTGGCCAAAGCTTCCTTTCCTGGAAGCGGCGTACTGGGGCCTCAGACAATGCAGAGCTGATGCGGTTCTCGCCGGTTCACTCGGCTCGAAGACAACGAGTCCAAGCTGTTCAAAGCAGTAGCTACGCTCGCACGACTGAAACAAATCCTGGCATTTATCTTGAGATTGCCGCTCCGGACCATGCTGCAAAGCTGGAAGCCTCCATGGACAGGCACTGACAGCCCACTGCGCACCCGCAGTCCCCCCGCCTCAGCTTCGCCCCATTGCTAACGAAGGACACGGCAGGCAAACAAATGGCCACCTCAGGGCTTGAGGAGGCTGTTTAGGGGGAAGCTAAACATAGCTAAACCGGTACAACCTGCAAAGGTTGGTCCCTTTCGTCCTGAGGAAGTCTGAGGAACACACCGCAGCCAGACAGGCTGGCAGCAAGAAGAGTCGAGTGCGCCTTCGGTACGCATCAACCATACTCGGTATCTTGGAAGTCCGTAGAAAGCCGTCTAAAAAGTGCTTCAGATCGTATGGACTTACAAAACTTAGCATCGCAGCAACCCAAATGATGCATCTCTCACGAGGTGGTCTCAGACATCCACCTGATCGCCATCATAGGGCGCCGCTCATGCAGCGACAAGGAATGGAAAAATGGGAGGGCACCCTCCCAACTCGAAGCCAGAAAGAGAATCCTATCTCCCTCAATTCCATGCACCCATCAGTAAGAAACCAAGACACGAGCAAACCCCTGACGGGATTGACAACAGACATCAACAAACCGCAAGGCTGCTTTTCTCTCTTCGCCAAAGGCAACGAGCGTTCAACTCGAGTTTGCTGAAGTGCTGCCTCACGAACCTCACAGATTCATCTCAAATCACGGATAGGTGCAAGTTGTGATCAGCAACTTCGGACTTGCAGTCACATCGAGATGTCCATAGCATTCACACAGTCACTAACTCCGAAAGCTCGTTGTTAAAAGTTCGTGTTCCGAGGCGTGCTCCTCGACCCTCACCCATCTCGAGATGGCATGCGTCAGTGGCGTGCTAGTGGCGCGTAGCGGCGCTATATGTTGATAACCAAACGGCTTTTGTGCCTCGGCGCTTTGCGCTGAGCCCTGCCGGGAACGCTACGATCGCTAAATGCAAACAATTTCGCGCAGGCAACAAATTCAAGAAGCGATATTCACAACTTGGACACTCCAAAAGCCAGTCGAGCAATGTAATCTGGATATTCGTCTGGACCCTCCTTGCTGCTGTACTGAGATGTCACATGCCAGCTTCTAATGCCACACAGCAGTCCTGCTCCCGCCAGCATCGGCGGTACGAAGCCACTTCGTCAGTCAACTGGACCAGCTGGCTGAACTTGTTCTCCCCCGTGCCTCACATGAATTTGGGTAACTTCAGTGCACTCTCATACTGATTTACAAAAGGGTTTCCAGCCTCGGTACTCTGGCTCGAGCTCCAGTGCAACAACTGGCTCCTTAGATGGTTCGCCGCGGCTAGGGCATGAGGATCAATGAGGAGCGCGGACGCCAACACAACAAACAGAAAATAATCGTGAGCCGCGCGTCGCCCTGATTACCTGTCCTTCTCGCCCATCGAACGATCCCCAACTCACTGTACGTCTGCAACGCTTTTCGGAGAGGCTCTTCTGACGCAGCCTGGAAGCAAAGTTAGATCGGCCACACGGCCACACGGCCACACTGCCTGCCACACTTCATGCCTGCTCTCGCCCACTCAAAATTTGACTTGCCTCGTGGTACTGGACGTAACCCATGTGCACCAATGTCTTGGCAAAGCTCTGCATGTAAGCCACTGCAGGCTTCTCCCCAATGATGACAATGCCGTTTCGAAATATGTACAGGAGTGACGCCTCAGATTTTGAAAAAACAACGCAGAAGTGGTCCGTCCGCCTGACGGAGAAATGGGCTAGGCTGCAAATGCTGCAACGGGGTGTCACACCACCTTCACCTACACATGTCCAACGTAGCTTTAACGATATCGAGAGCTAGTCGGTGCTCGCTGGCATGTCACAAAGTAGACTGCAAATGTGTTGGCTTGCACTCCGAGAAACTGCTTGAAACACGGATACAGCGCGCAGTGCGCAGCAAAGCTCAATCCGCTGACCCCCGGTCGGCATCAGTGAAAACTCACCCCTGCGGTAGCCCCACCGGCCCCACCCCGCGCCCACTCACACGCCCTCCCCCCCCACCCGCCCTCCGCCACCCGGAAAACGAGGTGCGGGGCGCAGCCCCTTAAGTATCCTCTTCCCGTTGGCACGGAGAGGTGTTCTTTTTTTTGCTGGTCTTTGAAAGTGCAACAGTCGGGCAAGCCCCAGAGGGCAAGGTTTCAAACTCTGATCAACGTATGGCTGATGGCCACTTCGTTGGAAAGACCTCCGTACAGATCCGTACAGTATACTGCAACGAGACTTTGCAGAGGATTCGCTTGCACGGCGTTCTTCAAACACGATATGCGGATGGCAACTCGCAAAGCAAAGTTCCGTCACTAAATCTACGAGGTGCTTCTCTCGAAGCTTCTGCCGAGTCTTGCAAATCCTAAACCCTGACACGGTGTTTCCATGCACAGAACATGGGCCAAGAAAACTCAGCACACTGCTGTGCTAACATAATGCAAACATACTTGCAACGTTGAGAATTCAGTTTGTCACAGCGTCAGCTTGGCATATGTCAGCAAGTGCTCGCCCTTGTCCGCAGTGGAGCGGAGATGTGAAAGGACTGGCTACAGTACTGCTGTAGTTCTGCCGTAGTATACAACAACAGAGAGCTTGAGGTATAGTGAGTCGGGGCACAAGAACCAGCCAGTAGGATTCCTCGGATGCAAGCGAAAAAATACCAACGGCAGATTTGAGTGGAGTCCAGACCGCAAAGCTCCAGAAACGCCAAGTTGCAATTAACGGCCAGACCATTGAACAAAGAAACGTGAAGTGCTTGTTCCAGTGGTCGTATCCCCCCTGCTCCTGCGCGTGCAGCTTGACAAACTTGCGGGACACATGTACTAAGACTGTCACTCTGAGAACTTGGTTCATAGGCTTGAGATGCTTGAGCAGGGTTACGGCTTCTTGGCCCATCTTTGGGGTTGGGCTCCAGCGACGCAGGCACTCGCCTCTAAGGGTTTAAGTGTGGTCGGTGAAGTGTCACATAGAGTCACAGGGTGTCAAGGGGGATGGCTTCCTGGGGTCCCATGCGTGCATCTCGTCGAAAATACACAGATATGCATGATGCAAACTTGTTAGCGAGTTAGTCTGTTCTACAAAACAAGCGGATGCTCTGTTGAGTTCAAAGCCTCCGCTCGGCTTTGGCAAGTGTCTTCTAGGTCCCCGCTCGCTTCATTGTTCATGCTTGCAGCGCAGCAAGGTCCTGTGCACTGCGGTACTGCTCCAGAGAGATTGCCCCACCTGATACATGACACAGGGAGTCAAGAGCAATGTGAGAGTCGCATCAGACATGATCTGGCTCGTTTTTGTGGAATTTGCCCTGAGCAGGATCTCGGAAACTGCCAGTGCCTTTGGAACCAGACTCGCAGACGCCCACCACGCCCTCGGCCACCAACAGCTCCAGTGCAGACTCAAAGTTTCTCATGAGGGCCTTGGATTGGCAGCGCACAGTGCTCTGAAGAAAGGGAAGTCGAACAATGTGGCTGCATCCATCGTCAACCAGACAAGAAAACGTCCGCTCACCCATTGCGACTGCTGCTCGAATGAAAAAAGACTCACCACTGGCGATCGGCGAACATTTCGCCGTACGGGGTTGTCGGAATATGCGGCACGCATTCAGCCTAATTCCTTGATGACGTCGCAATCGCGAAGCTATGATGCCGAATGAAACCAAAACATGCTCTTTACTAGTTTTTCGGTTTGCCAATTCTGCTTTATTTTCGCTCTGGCTATGTCTTTGTTCCTCTATTCCTGTTTCGTCTTTGTCTTCTGTGACTTTCTAACCCCGGACGAAAAGCGGCGGCTTTTCGTTGCAAAGCTTTGGGGTCTCGAAATCACACGCTCGACATCTTGTTTTGCGATTTCTGTCTTCGAAAGTGCGAAAGGCATTTCTCCAGATGCTGGGTTGGAGTCGTAGAGTTTGCATTGTTGTCGTGCGGTGAAAGCATCAGTTGTCGCGCGACTTCCATGGTGCATCCTCATAGTTCGCCAAAAACACGAATGTGTCAACGGCTGCTTGACGCAATCTTGCAACCTCGCTCCAGTGAATTCAGTGACAAGTTGCATAGAGCTGCCAACATTACGTGAAATCGTCCCCTCGCCAGTTTCATGTTTTCCAAGGAGCAGCTACCAGCTGAACATAGCTGAACTGTCTATTTTCTGTGAAGTGGCTGGCTCGGGTCAGCGGTTCGGTTAAAATCATCACGGGGGTGGGTGGAGGTAGGATAAGGGATAGTTTTGCTTTGCGGGGGCTTTATGTCATGCCCAAATCATGCCTAAGGCTCTTCCCCACAAGCAAAAGCAGGAAAACGGATGTCGTACCTAAGTCATGTTTTTTTTTGCCCTTTACCCCCAAAGCACGCATCCAACCGTGGATTCGAAAAACCACGCTTTGGTTAACTAAATCGAGCCTCGCTTTTGAAAACTCTATCTGCAAAATCAAAACCCTTTGAGCTCAAACGTTATCTGTCGGTGTTTGGAGGCAACTCGAGCCATCCACACCCGAAAACCCGCCCATACGCGGATCTTCTCGAAGCCGGTGTCCAAACCCGGCAACCACGTACGGAGATCTTTTCGAAGCCAGGGGCTGGTCGGCCCCCCCCACACCTGAAAATCACGCACCGGACGTTGCTCTGATGTGATCTGATCTTATCGAAACCTGCGGCTGGCCGCCTAAACTCGTTCTACGAGCTCAAGTTCCCGAGGTCTGGCGGTTGGCACTCTCTAAGTAGGGTGAAGGATTTAAAACAAAAAGAAAAAATACCCGCAAACCGCAAACCTTAACCTGGACCTAGAGGACGCAGGAGTGAAGGGGAGCACGGAAACTCCGAACCCGGGCGCCGGTGGCACAATGCAGCGAGCTCGTCCTCCAAGGCCTCGAACGTACTTGGAAGCTGCACCTTCCGTTGTTCCACGGCGTCACGTGCTCTCGAAAGCCGATCCAGCGCGCGCCTTTTGCGCTTTTAGGCCGAGAGGCTTACACGCTCTGGCCTGCCCCAAATGCGACGAGGTAAGCACAAGCACAAGCACGTTAAAACCAAGAGCTGTCGAGTCCCAATCAGGAACCCCACAAGCGCAGCTCAGGACGAGGTAGTGGCATGGGCCCAGCGGGTGCTGCGGAGGACTGGGCCCTCGCCCCGCGCGAGGCAAATTGCGAACAGAGTGGAAGCTCTGCCTGAGAGGCATGCTGAGAAGAGGCGTTGCTGGGGCGCTAGGGGACCAAGGACTGGCAGGGCATCAGCATCAGGCCTGACAGTGCCAGCTGCTGCCTACCCGCAAGCCTGACGGCAAACCTCCATTTCCTCTACAGTTATCCAAAGCTTTCTTCTTTTGGCAGCAGAACGGACCAAATGTAAAGCATGGGTTGGGCGCGTCCCCCAAATCTGCAAACCATACAGCAGACGAAGACTCTCAACCTTAATGCTAGTATGACGGGTTTGGAACGGATTCATATAGGCTTTGTAGAAATTCATGAGCCGCAGTGCTTGCTAATCTGTAAGAACGACGCTTCTGCAGGGGAAGGACGCAAGAGGGGCACGGTTTGTCCCCACATCACTGTTTGGGGCTCCCGCCACTTGCGCACACTTGCGCGCGCACGACTCACTTGGGGGCTGGGTTTGCAAGGCTGTCGAAGGCATCGCAGAGTCATTTTCGATGATGTAGAAGCGTTTTTGAAGGCATTTTGAAGGCTTTTGGACGAGTTTCGGGGCGGCGTTGTCTGTTCAGGTCTGCCTTGCGCTCTTCGGGGCTGAGTTTTAGCAGCGTGACTGGAAAGGGGTGCTTGCGAAACCATTGCAAATAGCGTCTCTTGCAAAAAGCTAGCAAGTACCGTGGTACCCCGCTTCCGCGCTGCCAAAATCCTCGCAGTCCTCGCAAATGCATGGACCGTGCTTTTGCAACTTGCAAGACACCTCCTAAATACCATGGTACCTGAATGCCGCGAATACAACAACAAAGCTGTGGCGCACCCCGCGTTTGCAAAAACCTTGCGAACACCAACTCGGTGCTTGACAAAAACTTCGCAATTGCCGTGGTGCCTGAATTCCGTCTTCAAAAGAACTGCGGTCCTCAAATTCGCACCTTGCACAACAATTGCAAAAACCTCGCACACCCAGAAACTCCAAATGTTCTTAACACGGAGGAAAACCGACGCTGAATACAACCGATTGCTCCTTAAAAAAATCCCATATTAATTACTTGCTTTTGCTTTTTAACCCTGATGAAAGGGTTTTGCTCTGCAATTAGAGGCTGCTATCTTTGTTTAACGTCTTTTGGTGACTCCAATCACCCGCTCTCACAGTCCCGCTCGGTGCTCAGACTGCGAGCCGAAACAAGCAAACGAAGGGAGCTGAAGGCGGCAAGGCTTGAAGCTTACAAGCGGAGGCGGTGAAGGCAAGGCAGCTTGACCCAAGCGAAGGCCGAGGATATTGAACAAAGTCTTCTCTTGCTTAACGTGTCTTGTCATGTACCTTACTGGACGACTGTGCACATATATATATATATGTATGTGTATATATATATATATGCTACCCCCCCCCCGTTGGCCTAGGTTTTACTTAAAAAAGGGTGTGTTTTTCGTAGGATTTACTAAAAAACGTGTTTTTTGAATCGCATGAACGGAATGGAGGATACTGCCCAACACATAGGCGACAGACGCAGCAAGCTGTGCAACACAGCGTGCGACAGAATCATGTTACACGTGTTTTTGCTTCTGTGCTAGAAAAGACAGGCCTCTAATTAAACTTGTTCATACACTACATTAATTAAAACATAATGCGTAATAGGGAACCTGACCTAATGGCTTCACTTAAGCAATCAATGAGCTAAAACATGTTCCTTCTTCTTTTCGTGAACAAGCACAGTACTTAATTTAACTAAAGTTTTTCGTTTCTGGAAAATAACATACGTACAGTCTTTCCAACAGTTTGATTAGTCTTCTGAAGGTGTTTTTGCTTCTGTGCTAGAAAAGACAGGCCTGTAATTAAACTTGTTCATACACTACATTAATTAAAACATAATGCGTAATAGGGAACCTGACCTAATGGCATCACTTAAGCAATCAATGAGCTAAAACATGTTCCTTCTTCTTTTCGTGAACAAGCACAGTACTTAATTTAACTAAAGTTTTTCGTTTCTGGAAAATAACATACGTAAAGTCTTTCCAACAATTTGATTAGTCTTCTGAAGGGTTAAGTAAATAAATCGAGTTCGTAGACCAATAATTAACTAAAGGAATTCAATGAACTAAACTTACTAAGAACAGTAACTACGGCCTTTTGTTTGCTGATATTAATGTAGTCAAAATCATTTCAATTGTGGATTTAGTTTACTTAAAGGTGAAGCACATGAATGAAACTAATTAGTATACCCTTAACTCAACGAATTCGATCATTTAAATTAAACAAGCCACGATCCTTAACAACAATTCAATTGGTTCAGCCTGACTAGATTAATTACTTTAAACGAATACTTTAATAGGCCTTCCCAAGAAAAAACTACATTTAGTTTCTTATTCTAAGAGGTAGATAGCATTCAACTAACTAAATGTCTATCCTTTTTTTACTTCAACCTCAACCAGACTAAATGAATGTCCCTAAAAAACCTAAAAACCAATTCTGGGGACCTGTACAGGCAGCCCCTCTTCAAAAGATTGGTTTTTTAGGGACAGCACAGCACTTTCAGCACCTCAGACCCTCAAAGTGCTGTACTGTCCCTAACAAACCAATCCCATAAACATAAAGTGCCGTACTGTCCCTAAAAGACCTAGAAAACCAATTCTGGAGGCCTATACAGGTAGACCCTCACGAAAAGATTGGTTTTTTAGGGACAGTACAGCACTTTCAGCACCTCAGGCCTTCAAAGTGCCGCACTGTCCCTAAAAAACCAATCCCAAAAGCAGAAAGTGCCGTACTGTCCCTAAAAAACCTAAAAAACCAATTCTGGAGGCCTATACAGGTAGACCCTCACGAAAAGATTGGTTTTTTAGGGACAGTACAGCACTTTCAGCACCTCAGGCCTTCAAAGTGCCGCACTGTCCCTAAAAACCAATCCCAGAAGCAGAAAGTGCCGCACTGTCCCTAAAAAACCTAGAAAAACCAATTCTGGAGGCCTATACAGGTAGACCCTCACGAAAAGATTGGTTTTTTAGGGACAGTACAGCACTTTCAGCACCTCAGGCCTTCAAAGTGCCGTACTGTCCCTAAAAAACCAATCTTTTGAGGAGGGCCTGTCTTGATAGGCCTCCAGAATTGGTTTTTTAGGTTTTTTAGGGACAGTACGGCACTTTCTGCTTCTGGGATTGGTTTTTTAGGGACAGTACAGCACTTTCAGCACCTCAGGCCTTCAAAGTGCCGTACTGTCCCGAAAAAACCAATCTTTGGAAGAGGGCCTGTCTGTATAGGCCACCAGAATTGGTTTTTTAGGTTTTTTAGGGACAGTACAGCACTTTCTGCTTTTGGGATTGGTTTTTTAGGGACAGTACAGCACTTTCAGCACCTCAGGCCTTCAAAGTGCCGCACTGTCCCTAAACAACCAATCCCAGAAGCAGAAAGTGCCGCACTGTCCCTAAAAAACCTAAAAAACCAATTCTGGAGGCCTATACAGGTAGACCCTCACGAAAAGATTGGTTTTTTAGGGACAGTACAGCACTTTCAGCACCTCAGGCCTTCAAAGTGCCGCACTGTCCCTAAAAAACCAATCCCAGAAGCAGAAAGTGCCGTACTGTCCCTAAAAAACCTAAAAAACCAATTCTGGAGGCCTATACAGGTAGACAATCACGAAAAGATTGGTTTTTTAGGGACAGTACAGCACTTTCAGCACCTCAGGCCTTCAAAGTGCCGCACTGTCCCTAAACAACCAATCCCAGAAGCAGAAAGTGCCGCACTGTCCCTAAAAAACCTAAAAAACCAATTCTGGAGGCCTATACAGGTAGACCCTCACGAAAAGATTGGTTTTTTAGGGACAGTACAGCACTTTCAGCACCTCAGGCCTTCAAAGTGCCGTACTGTCCCTAAAAAACCAATCTTTTGAGGAGGGCCTGTCTTGATAGGCCTCCAGAATTGGTTTTTTAGGTTTTTTAGGGACAGTACGGCACTTTCTGCTTCTGGGATTGGTTTTTTAGGGACAGTACAGCACTTTCAGCACCTCAGGCCTTCAAAGTGCCGTACTGTCCCTAAAAAACCAATCTTTGGAAGAGGGCCTGTCTGTATAGGCCACCCGAATTGGTTTTTTAGGTTTTTTAGGGACAGTACAGCACTTTCTGCTTCTGGGATTGGTTTTTTAGGGACAGTACAGCACTTTCAGCACCTCAGGCCTTCGAAGTGCCGTACTGTCCCTAAAAAACCAATCTTTTGAGGAGGGCCTGTCTTGATAGGCCTCCAGAATTGGTTTTTTAGGTTTTTTAGGGACAGTACGGCACTTTCAGCTTCTGGGATTGGTTTTTTCGGGACAGTACAGCACGTTCACTCCTAAACCCTAAACCCTACAAGAGGCAAGTCATCTGAGGCCGGTACCTGAGACAGGGAAGAAAATGAGACCTAGGTACTTGGGGGGGGGGGTACCATATATATATATATATATGCATATCCGTATGTATATATGCAGACATTATGAAACTTTACCCGTTTTTGCTTCGTGCGTTACAGCCATATAGTTAGTTGGAGATGGAGTCATTTGTTCATGGCTGCCGTGACCGCATTGGCCTTAATCGTCAGCGGAATGATGTAAGGATGCTAAAAGAATGCGTTCCATGAGCTCTTGAGTTCTTGCCATCTGCACCAAGCTAGGCCCTTGACTGTGCACCAAGCCTGGCACTCGACATCTGACTTACACGCACGTTCTTCCCATATGGTTTCCATGATGGACTGTTGGCCGATACTCCTGGTAGGGATATGTAGGGATATGTAGGGATATGTAGGGATGCAAGATGGTACAAGGATCAAAGCGGAAAACCTTGAAACAGCTGTGCTGCAAAGAAACTATTGGAGCATCTTGGCCCCATTGCTCAGCAGATGCTTGCTTCGGCGGCGATCCGCCCGGAGTGGCAGAACCCGAAAACACAAACTCACCTCAGCAAAGAAATGGGTCCCACTTGTCCAGGATTCTTAATGTTTGCAGTGTTTTTTCGATCGGAAGCAAAAAGATATGTGAACCGTGGTGGGTCTGTAGGGTACCATGAATACAAACATGATAAATGGCCAGCCACTGAAGCTGCAGCTAGGCAAACGAACTGATGCGAAGTGAAAATATCTTCTGCCTGGGCGCGCTTCAAAAGTCGACTGAGAAATCGGACGTCCTGCACTTGAGAGGTCATTGATATGGAAACCACAACTATCGACACAGCCCCCCAAAGAGCAAGAAGCTTTCATCACGAATGCTCCGACATGACATCGGCACGCTCCACTCTTCCAGCACCTTGCCGATGCCTCATGCTCAATGATCATACGGCTCCATGCTCGCTCATCCATACAACTTCTTTCCAAAAGTGCTCCTCTCTTTCATAGTCAACAGTCCACAAAGTGCTGTCAATGCATGCGTTTCTTTCTTTCGCTCCAAGAGCGTACGTGCAGGGTCACACAATGACAAGTGGCATCTGCACTGCTCGATGCAGAACAGCTGTAATAATCGCTTGGTGGATGAACACGTGGACACACATGTTCCTGTCCCAGGTTCCAAAGAAAACGCACACAACATTTCTTGTCATTCTGGCAGCCTTTGCCCGTGTACTCGCGATTGCAAAAAACTGGTCTTTCTCACGGCAGTCGACTCAAAACAAGTACCTGGCCTGTAGTATGACAGCTCGAAGTGCATGCCAGGTGCAACGCAATAAACTGGCTCTACCAAGCCTGAAGTTCATGCTGGGAGAAGTTGCCATGCAACAGAACTCCAACATGTGATTCTCAAGCATGTTACGGGCTGAAGCCTGTGAAGGTCTGCACCAAATTGCCCAAAACCGTCAAGGCGGAATCTACCACTTCCGCTGTGAGCTCCTCGGCATAACAAACAGCATCTGTATGAGATCCTCTTGGGCAAGGATTGGCAACACATCCGCTCTCAAATTTCAGCTGCAGAATATTGGTTTGTTCATTGCCAGGCGCGGCACACCACCGCCTAGTAACAGTTGAGAATGGTTGAGGGTCGAAGGAGCATTGCCAACTTTAGTCGGTATAGATCGCACAGTTCAAATCTGGCCTCGGATCAGTTAATACTCTCTGCAAACTAGACTATCACAACTATACTTTCCAGCTTTTACAGCTTGTCAGCCATTCGGGTCAAACCTTTTCTTACAATCGCTTTCGGCAAGTCCTAGCTGTTCGATGGAAGGGGCCGCCAGGTCTACGGCAAGGTGGCAAAGAGGGCCTGCACTGTTTCTTCTTTTTTTCCACTGCCCTCCCGCAAGCCTCTTTGACCCATGCATGCCTGCCGCCGAGGCCCTCTCGGACTCTGACAACTGTCGAACATGCAACAGGTTGGGAGGTTTGGGGCCTAGGAGAGGGAATGGCCCTCACAGCGAATTATGTTACTTTCGACTGCTCGGTTGATTAAGGCGATATCCATCACCCACATCAAGTAACACGCTAAGCTCATCAGAATTCCCATATGTGATATTCTAGGTAAAAAAAAAGAAGTGGTGCACCCCATTTGGTAACTTCTTCTGGGGCTTATGCAACATAGTCTGTCCATGTACCAGTTTGCATGATTTCTTTGTACGCAGGGATTGCGAAAAACTTATTGTGAATATCCATGTGTGACGGGGAGGGAGGCGGGGGTCTAGCCTGAGTGAGATCTGTAGGCCTGGTCTTGCAGGTATTCGAGAGAGAACAACCCCCATGCTTAGTCTTGAAGATTCTTCCGCTGAATTATGTCCAGATGTACACCTGAACAGGCGTGAGATTGCCTGGCCTTCCATACATGGCATACATGAGTCTAGACCGGACTACGGATGGATAAACCTGAAGCTTTCATGAGGTGGAAGTACTGGAAGTGGTATAAACTGTCGTTGCTTTCTGACGTCTAGGCTCGCGAAATGCGAAAGTGCCATGGACATGGTTTGTGGAACTCGGCTCGGGGCTCACGAGATGCGATTCCAAAAACGATTCCAAAGACGACTTGTGCAAGCGTCGTATGCGGAGGACGTCCGGACTTCTTGTAATGCAAACGTAGTATGCAGAGGGCGTCGGGCTTCCAGTGAGGCTCCAAAATCCCCATTTGTAACAAACATAGTATGCGGATGACGTACGGAGTTGTAGTACAAACATAGTCCTTAGCTCCACTCTCTTTTCTCAGAACCAGCCATAGGATACGGGTGACGAGGTAGTAGAATAGCATCATAGCGCTTCAGCGAACGATGCATGCACTAGCTCCGCCACCCCTAGCACCAGCAATAGGGTATGGGTCACGAAGTAGTAGAATGGCACGATAGTCGATGCCATTATCAGCGAGTCGGAACCTAGCACCAAACGTGAGCTAGCTCCCTGCTTTCTGCCGCTTGTTCAGTTCAACACTCCCGACTGACTCTGCCAAGGCTCGCCAGGAAAATCATAAAAGCGAGACCTGTGTCAGCAACAACAAGCAGTGCATGTTCATGTTCAAGTATCTGCTTCCGACTTTCTACGGCACAAAGGGGCAGCGCGAGGCACCACGAGGTACCACGGCAACAACAAACAATAGTCCCGCCATGAAACTGTGGCCACAAGTCCAAAGAGTAGCACGTTAGATCCGCAACTGGAAGCACAAGGCGCTGCAAACATCTCACATTCTGGGCTGGTTCAGTGCAGCTCGGCCACATATGCCCACCTGACCGAACAACCTGACCGAGAAAGGAACTAGCTGATCACTGTGGCTGCTTTTGGGCTGAGGCTGAGGCTGAGGCAGAGGCAAAGGCTTAGGCTTAGGCTTCGGCTTCGGCTTCGGCTTCGGCTTCGGCTTCGGCTTCGGCTTCGGCTTAGGCTTAGGCTTAGGCTGGGTGTTTATGTGGTGGGTGCAAGCTACTAGGGTCTGCCAAAACGATGTCTGCCAAAACGATCCGCAACGGGACACCCAGCCACATGTCTAGTAGATGCGATACAAGGCTTCCGAAAATCAAACTCGGCACTCTCAAACAAGGTCAGCCGCGGATTCGGAAACTGGAAACGCGCGGATTCGGAAACTGAAAAACCCTGATTCTGGAAACTAGAAAACGCGGATTCGGAAACTGAAAACGCAGATTCGGGAAACCAGGATTCGAGAAACCAGCTGATTCAAGAAACTGGAAAATGCGGATTCGGAAACCAGGAGATTCAAGAAACTGAAAACCGCGGATTCGGAAACTGGAAACCGCTGATTCAGGAAACTGGAAAACACGGATTCAGAAACCAGCTGATTCAGGAAACTGGAAAACGCGGATTCGGAAACCAGCTGATTCAGGAAACTGGAAAACGCGGATTCGGAAACCAGCTGATTCAGGAAACTGGAAAACGCGGATTCGGAAACCAGCTGGAAACCAGCTGATTCAGGAAACTGATTCAAACGCGGACTGGAAAACGCGGATTCGGAAACCGGCTGATTCAGGAAACTGGAAAACGCGGATTCGGAAACCAGCTGATTCAGGAAACTGGAAAACGCGGATTCGGAAACCGCGGATTGGAGGAACCGGATTCGTGTATATTCCAATTACCGGATCTGATAGCCCCCCTCCGACTTTTCAACAGGCTGGAGCCCAATGCTTTGTCCTGGACGCTATCATCCCCCCCCCCCAACCCCCCTCCCCCGCGACATTTCAACAGGCTGGAGCCCAGTGCTGCTGCTTGAATGGTTGGCGTCACAAAGCAGCCTTGTCCTGGAAGCTATCATTCCCCCCCCCCCCCGACATTTCAAGAAACGCGTGGTTTCCTGAATCGGGCGTGGTTTCCCGAATCGCGTGGTTTCCTGAATCGCGTGGTTTCCTCAATCGCGCGGTTTCCTGAATCGCGTGGTTTCCCGAATCGCGTGGTTTCCTGATTCGCGCGGTCTCCTGAATCGCGTGGTTTCCTGAATCGCGTGGTTTCCTGAATCGTGCAGTTTCCTGAATCGTGCAGTTTCCTGAATCGCGTGGCTTCCTGAATCGCGTGGTTTCCTGAATCGCGTGGTTTCCTGAATCGTGCGGTTTCCTGAATCGTGCGGTTTCCTGAATCGCGTGGTTTCCTGAATCGCGTGGTTTCCTGAATCGCGCGGTTTCCTGAATCGTGCAGTTTCCTGAATCGCGTGGTTTTCTGAATCCGGTGGTTTCCTGAATCGCGCAGTTTCCTGAATCGCGCAGTTTGCTGAATCGTGTGGTTTCCTGAATCGCGTGCTGTCACTTTCCTGAATCGCGCAGTTTCCTGAATCGCGTGGTTTCCTGAATCGTGCGGTTTCCTGAATCGCGTGTTTTCAGTTTCCTGAATCTTGTGGTTTCCTGAACCGCGGTTTCCTGAATCGCGTGCTGTCAGTTTCCTGAATCGCGCAGTTTCCTGAATCGCGTGGTTTCCTGAATCCTGGTTTCCTGAATCGCGCAGTTTCCTGAATCCTGGTTTCCTGAACCCTGGTTTCCTGAATCGCGTCCAGTTTCTGAATCGACAATGTTTCCTCAAAATCTCTCAAAGTGTGCCCAGCGCACTCTTGTCTTACTCGCTCCGTATTCGAGTCTCCCGATTCTAGCAAGATACCCGATGTCATTTGCCATCGCACAGTTCCTACTTTGCTCGATCCCTAAACCCAAGTTGCCCGTCTTGATGCTGCCCCCAATGCCATTAAACTTTACATTATCTTTGTGTTCGTGCCCCTGCCTCCCGTCGCAGCCAGTCAACTTTGTTGATGAGAGCGCGCCGGCCAATGCCACGGCCAAGAGTGCAAAGAAGCACAGTGCCAACCTTGAAAGCAGCACTCTGAGTCTCACACTTGATGCAGTCACGGACGCTTCAGCAAGTGTAGGTTCGGAACCAGCGCCGTAGGAGTCACACTCGAGACGCGGTTGATCTCTTCAAGGACATGGTATGCCAAAGCCTGCCGCTTTGCATAGAATTTATAAAAGGCCTCTGGTGCAGCACATCAGAGCCAGGCCTTCAACAAAACCTGCTTGTCTGCCATGGTGCTAACAGGATTGAAGTTTGCGCGGTTGGGCGCAGCTTGACGTTGTACCGCCATGTGGGTGTCGATGTAACCTGCACAAGTCTCTCGCGGCAACATAAAGCCCTTCTGGCCGATCGTCTCAATGAAGCGCAGGTGAAAGATGTTTCCACTGCCGACTAGCAACACATGCTCTAAGCAATGTGAAGCATCGAGTTTTGCACTTCGAACGGTACATGTGCTCGATTCGTTTGCTGTCCAATCGGCGATTTGGTTTTCATCCCGATCCTTCCGAGTGTCCGGGTGGTGCTGCTAATACCACAGCAGATCATCTGCTACTACGCAGAAAAAGCTCTCATCAACCAATGGTATGCCCCGAGGCTACGCAGTTCAGTCTCTGTGGTCGACAACCCTTTGCAATGCACCAGATGCATACGCAGTGCACAGAATCGGCATTACATGATATCTCAAAACTGTTTTCAAGTCTACACATGCGCATGTGGGGAAGGTCCTGGCTTTCGGGTTGATTATACTTCAGCACAAGCCAAAAAACAAACGACAACCTTCAACGGTTCCATGTGAGGACAACGCAAGTCGCGGTTAAGGGATTGATGATGGGTGGAATGCGTGGAACCAGACATTACTTTCGATACCCTGGCCATGGGAGATTGATCCGACCTTCTAAGGTCTCCCCGTGGCATAATAGTGCATACATGGGACTTCTGGCACTGAACCCAGGGGCGAAGCGTACATGGATGTTGCCTTTGCTGAAAAGGCACCCCAAGGCACCCCAAGGCACCCCAAGATCACAGGCACAGCAACATGAAGCTGATATGACGCTGCAACCCATGGCTCTGCAGCTAGAGGGCCGTAGCGAGAGCGTCGCATGGCCAAGAGATGCTTCCCTTGTCCCAGAACGCCTATCAAACTCTCCTCCGGGAGTTGCACAACAGGCTCTGCATGAAACTCGGACCAGTAAAAGTCTTCGGTCCCTGAAGCACCACACACACACACACACCGCTGGCTGATTTGTGGTCATTCCTGTCGCTAGCGAGGTCGACGTTACAATACAGACAGACCTTTCATGTGTTTTGGACCCCTACACCCTCAAGAATAGATAGCAAGAACGTTTAGTGAACAAGGTTTGAGAATACGGTTTAGGAATAAAGCTAAGGAACACGTGAGAGAACAAAACTAGGTGGTCCAAAAATAGAAGACAGTGTCACCGTCTAACCACATGCTTGTGCAAGCCCGGATCATGACTCGTACGTTAAAGTCAGTCATTGCGTCGCGGAACGCAACGCCATCAGCTTCGGCGTGCAGGAGCAGGGTTCAGCAAACAGGGTTTGGCAAACAGGGGTTGAAATAGGGCTTTAGCGAGTTCGGCACAATGCCCGGTTCTTCTGACTTCGCCACCGTGGCTGGAAGGAAACTAACGGGAAGGCATGAAAAACACAAACCTGACGGCAAACACACGCGAAGGCACAAAGCTCACTCGCTTTCTTTCTGTGCTCCTGCTAAGCCGGCTGGGAGCAGAAACTGCAGAATACACGTGAAAAAGACGAAATGAACAAAAACACCAAGCCACCAAGCCCTTAGGCGAAGGAAGCTCAATCACAAGGCAACTGGTGCAGCAGGATTGGGGAGATTGAACTAGTGCCGGCTGCCTGTCGAGCCACTTGACCCGACATGCTCCCACACAAAAGTCATGAGTCATGAGGAACATGGAGTACACGCAGGCTGACACTGAATCTTGCAAACCAGTGATCTGGCATGTATGGTTCAGCACGTTCGGCTAAACAATGCGCACCTGCACATTCCAAAGCTTGCAGGACCGAGCCATCCCAATTCGTTTGTCAATGGGTATACAGATCGGCAGGTCCTTCCGTTTCTGGGATCCCGAAAGTTCCCTGACGTAACTCTCCGTTTCCATCACCTCGAGAATGCAAGCCACACAGACGCACACGCACACACGGCGCAGGCATTGACAGTGACACCTCCCACATGAAATTGCATCGAGGTAACACCATCATAGTAGATGGAGACGGGCACGATGTAAGCATCCTCCACGACCCCGTCCAAGATCGGATCCAAGACCATGCCAAGAAGGCCGATCTTCGGCTGCAACCTGAAGAAACAGGAAGAAGTTGAGATTCCTGTTGAGAATTTTGAGATGAAAAGAAAAGGGGGGGGGGCGAAGAACTGCGGAGTAGTCGAAAAAAAAACGGTGAAGGCTAGGCTCAACTTCCCGCTTCGGCTCCGTCCACCCTCTGTGAAGAATTTCACATTTGCCCCACGTTTGAGCAATCCTTCGATATACCTTTGTGTGATGCATCGCAAAGAAAAAAAGAAAAGACTTTGCTTGTGGAACTACAACATACACGTGCACACACAATCACGGCCTTGAATTGGTAGTTGCAGCTGGGCTGCGCTGCAACCACTGCAGTGTAGAGTTCGCTATCGGGTCCCGAGAAACTCCTGTCAACAGAACTTTCCGCCACGATCCGTCGAAGTGACTCTTCTGAAGGTCCTCCGAATGTAAAAGGCTCCATTGCGGCCTGAAAGATCGAAAGAGCTTTGCATAAGCCTTCGTTTCCGCTCTGTCGAGCTCTGAGGCCCTGACGCAGCAGCCTTGCAAGCGTGAAGCTTTACATGCTTGTGGAAACGGTCAAACAGAACCAGTGGACAGCTAGAGCTTCAATCCGAGACTGTTCTCCACGTTTCCCTGCCCAAGGCACGGACCCACCCACAACCGGGAGATTCAAGTTCTCTCCGGCAGCGATGGCTGGCGCTCCCAGCCCAAGGTTCCACAGTGAAAACCTCGACAGGCACGTGAATGATGGTATGCATACGTGCTTGCGTTTTGTGTTCAAGGCACGCGTAAACTCACTAACACAGTGCGCTTGGAATGCTTGTCAAGACACTGGAGCACAATATAGTCGATGTGACTTTTGTGGCCTCAGTAACTCTCAATACTTCCGTGCCCCTGCCAAAACATCCAGCCCGGTGCCATGACAGGTCAGGTTTGCACATATTAAACCTGAACAAGCTGCTTGGTAGGTAAATAATGCTTCGGCCCTCTTCGCGCGCCCGTACGCTGAGCTGCGCCAGGGAAAGCAGCTGCTGACGTTCGAAGACCAGCTTAGCAGTCATCAATTGCTGCTTCACATACACAGCTCGAACCACAAACTACTCTTCTATGAGGCACGCCGGAATACAGCCGCTGGAAGCCAAATCGTGCCAATGCCGATGTAAAATGTGCGAACCTGACAAACCATCTCATCTTGAAATCGTAATGAAACGATCGTACAAGTCTGAATGGATTCGAGCTGCATTGTGCAAATGAGTGAACATGCTGCTGCCTCATCTCGACGGATGCGGCCAGCTCGCTTGCCAGCGATGCAGCCTTCTGGCGTGTTGCAGCCGCAGCCCTGGGGCCACCTTCAAGCTAACCCTTTTAAATAGAGATGACATACCTAAAACATCCTGAAACATCCACGCACCATTTCGTCCGTGCCAGCAGTTAACGATGCTGACGATCTAAAAAAAATTGTGGACATGCTGCAAGCACTTTTGTACAAATGCTTGCAAACATGTTTTCGATCCCAACACTGTCAAAAAAAGCCACCACGCGCAGCAGCAGCTTCACAGAGCTCGTCCACTTTGGGGTGAGTCACCACTTCCTGTGAGATGGACAAGGATCAAAGTGAAAACACGTGAGATTGGATGAGCTGCCACATGCATGTGTTTGTCAACGGAAGCCTTACCAGCAGCGATCCAATCGATATTGAAGCATGGATCATCTTTCCTGCAACCGGTGATCTCGGCTAATCCAGGAAGCTGACGTCATCGGACGATTTGCGGCGGGTGAAGTATGCGTGGGCTACGGGACAGTCCCGCCACGAAGTCCAGTTTGCTCCCAAAAACCTTCGACTTCTTCCTGCACAACTCACAAACATGCATCATTGGAACATACACTGAGTGTATCGACATGTACTGACAAGCGGAGCTGAAACTCCAAAGTGGCGAGTGCCAGCCCATCCTGGTCTAAAACGTTCAGATAATAGTCTGCAGAAGCCTTTTGCTGTGCTGAACAACACAAAGAGACACAAGCACATGTTGCAACAATCTAAATGCAACATTGGTCGGTTGAGCTTACGTCCTGCTAGTGAAAAATTCACAGAAGCATGGGAATGCAGTTCCTTTGCTTGCACACATCCAACCCCACTCGAAACTGCAAGGCCCTGCTCACCTTTACAGCATTTGAAATGCGACTTGCTTGCTGGTGGATTCAAGAAAGCATGATTGCTCAAACCAAACCTAGCAATGTCACGTTGCAAGTGACATGTTTACGCTTATGTGGCCCAAGGCAGCGACTGCATCAACTTCGGGCTCGGCACCTTACTCGAAAGATCTGGAAACAAGCGTATGGAAACCTCAACACCGAGCTGCAAACTGGCGCTGGAAGGGTCAAGCATATCGCAGCTCAGTTAGCGTGTCGTTGCTATGTTTTGTGACCTCTGGCTGTGCTTCGGTGTCGATCCAGGAGTCAAGGAAAGCAAAACCTTGACATGCCGACATCCGTGTATCGAAGCTCCACGTTATGTGCAAACTTAACAGCATCCGCTCCGATCCGTTAAGCTGCGGTTGTTCAATGCCCACGTGCTCATGTCATGTGCAGGCAGAGGAAGAGGAAGAGGAAGAGGAAGAGGAAGAGGAAGAGGAAGAGGAAGAGGACGAGGAAGAGGAAGAGGAAGAAGAGGAAGAGGAAGAGGAAGAGGGAGGAAGAGGAAGAAGAGGAAGAGGAAGAGGAAGAGGGAAGAAGAGGAAGAGGAAGAAGAAGAAGAGGAAGAAGAAGAAGAGGAAGAGGAAGAGGAAGAGGAAGAGGAAGAGGAAGAGGAAGAGGAAGAGGAAGAGGAAGAGGAAGAGGAAGAGGAAGAGGAAGAGGAAGAGGAAGAGGAAGAGGAAGAGGAAGAGGACGAGGACGAGGACGAGGAAGAGGAAGAGGAAGAGAGGACGAGGACGAGGGAGAGGAAGCGAGGACGAGGACGAGGACGAGGACGAGGACGAGGACGAGGACGAGGACGAGGACGAGGACGAGGACGAGGACGAGGACGAGGACGAGGAAGAGGAAGAGGACGAGGACGAGGAAGAGGAAGAGGAAGAGGAAGAGGAAGAGGAAGAGGAAGAGGAAGAGGAAGAGGAAGAGGAAGAGGAAGAGGAAGAGGAAGAGGAAGAGGAAGAGGAAGAGGAAGAGGAAGAGGAAGAGGAAGAGGAAGAGGAAGAGGAAGAGGAAGAGGGAGAGGAAGAGGGAGAGGAAGAGGAAGAGGAAGAGGAAGAGGAAGAGGAAGAGGAAGAGGAAGAGGAAGAGGAAGAGGAAGAGGAAGAGGAAGAGGAAGAGGAAGAGGAAGAGGAAAGAGAAAGAGGAAAGAGAAAGAGGAAAGAGAAAGAGGAAAGAGAAAGAGGAAAGAGAAAGAGGAAAGAGAAAGAGGAAGAGGAAGGGAGGAAGAGGAAGAGGAAGAGGAAGAGGAAGAGGAAAGAGAAGAGGAAGAGGAAGAGGAAGAGGAAGAGGAAGAGGGCTAAGAGGAAGAGGGAGAGTAAGAGGAAGAGGAAGAGGAAGATGAAGAGGAAGAGGAAGAGGAAGAGGAAGAGGAAGAGGAAGAGGAAGAGGAAGAGGAAGAGGAAGAGGAAGAGGAAGAGGAAGAGGAAGAGGAAGGGGAAGAGGAAGAGGAAGAGGAAGAGGAAGAGGAAGAGGAAGAGGAAGAGGAAGAGGAAGAGGAAGAGGAAGAGGAAGAGGAAGAGGAAGAGGAAGAGGAAAAGGAAGAGGAAGAGGAAGAGGAAGAGGAAGAGGAAGAGGAAGAGGAAGAGGAAGAGGAAGAGGAAGAGGAAGAGGAAGAGGAAGAGGAAGAGGAAGAGGACGAGGAAGAGGAAGAGGAAGAGGAAGAGGAAGAGGAAGAGGAAGAGGAAGAGGAAGAGGAAGAGGAAGAGGAAGAGGAAGAGGACGAGGACGAGGACGAGGAAGAGGAAGAGGAAGAGAGGACGAGGACGAGGAAGAGGAAGAGGACGAGGACGAGGAAGAGGAAGAGGAAGAGGAAGAGGAAGAGGAAGAGGAAGAGGAAGAGGAAGAGGAACGAGGAAAGGAAGAGAAGAGAGAGAAGAGGAAAGGAAGAGGAAGAGTCAGGCCAGAGAACAGGAAAACAGGAGAAAGGGAGAAAAGGATAACAGGAAAACAGGAAAACAAGAAAACAAGAAAAAGGAAAACAGTAAAACAACAGGACAACAGGAAAACCGGAAAACTGGATAACAGGAAAACAGGAAAACTGGATAAAAGGAGCAGGAAAACAGGAACACAGGAACACAGGAACACAGGGACCCAGAGACACAAGGAAACAGGAACACAGGGACACAGGGACACAGGGACACAGGGACACAGGGACACAGAGACGCAGGGACGCAGGGACACAGGGACGCAGGGACGCAGGGCAGGGACGCAGGGACGCAGGGACGCAGGGACGCAGGGACGCAGGGACGCAGGGACGCAGGGACGCGGGGACGCAGGGACGCAGGGACGCAGGGACGCACGGACGCAGGGACGCAGGGACGCAGGGACGCAGAGACGCAGAGACGCAGAGACGCAGCGACGCAGCGACGCAGGGACGCAGAGACGTAGAGACGCAGAGACGCAGGGACGCAGGACACAGGGACGCAGGGGACGCAGGGACCCATGGCGCGCAGGGACGGTCAGGTAGCGCGGGTACGGCGGGGACGCTGGGAACGCATGTACGCAGGGCACGCAGAGACGGGAGGGGCAGAGGACGCAGGGACGCAGGGACGCAGAGACTCAGGGCGTGACGGCAGAACGCAGGGGGGGGACGCAGGGACGCACGGACGCATGGACGCAGAGACGCAGAGACGCAGATGACGCAGCGACGCAGCGTACCCGAAAGGGACGGGGTCATAGACTTAGTAGAACGGCGGAGTACCAGGGACGCAGGACACAGGGACGCAGGGACAGCAGGGGACGCGGGCACGCAGGGACGCAGGGACGCAGGGACGGGGACGCGGGGACGCAGGGACGCAGGGACGCAGAGACGCAGGGGCAGGGACGCAGGGACGCAGGGACGCACGCAGGGACGCACGCAGGGACGCACGCAGGGACGCACGCAGGGACGCACGCAGGGACGCACCCAGGGACGCACCCAGGAATGCACCCAGGGATGCACGCAGGGATGCACGCAGCCGACGCAGGATAACAAACACCACTTCGTCATGGGAGAAGCGCAGGTCCGTGATTGAAAATGTAACCCCTTTTTGTTTGATGAGCCGATGCGCATTGAGAAAACCATTTCGGTTGTTATATGAGGCCTTTCCGGCTTGGTTTCGTAACAAGTTAAAATCTGCTGACTTTTCCAAAGCAAGTCCGAACGACTTAGCTGCAACTGCCTGAGCATGTGGTCATTATCTTCTTGGGAATGTGGCGAAATTCGTCCCTGCGTGCGTCCCTGCGTACATCCCTGCGTGCATCCCTGCGTGCATTCCTGCGTGCATAAGTGAGATGCTTCGAACCATCGTCCGTTTTGTGTGCAAACGCAGGCCCTGGTTCATCTGGTTTCAGGGCCCTTGTCCAATGAGGTGGACGATCTTCACAAGTCGGCTGGCAAGTTCGTTCCTCGCGTACGTTAGGGAAGACAGCCTGGGGATCGTTTTTCTCCAGCATGCTTCCTTTGGAGAGCCGTTGGAGCCCTCTGCGGCTTTGCCGCAGACCGTCGGAGGTGTGTTGTCTCTTCTGACACTGAGGAGGCTTCGCCTGCAGAGACATCCAAGGCGGCAGATGAGTTCAAATCTGAAGTGTTTAGGGTCTCAAGGGTTTAGGAGCTCAAGGGTTCACGAATTTTTGGGCCTTGCCCACGAATACTTGGGCCTTGCCCACGAATATTTGGGCCTTGCCCACGAATATTTGGGCCTTGCCTACGAATATTTGGGCCTTGCCCACGGAAATTCGTGGGCAAGGCCCAAAAATTCGTGGGCAAGGCCCAAAATCCGGATTTTGGGCCTTGCCCACAAGTATTTGGGCCTTGCCCACGAATCTTGGGCCTTGCCCACGAATATTTGGGCCTTGCCCACGAACACCATGAAGGTTTATAATTATATGGTGGGAGAGGTTTAGGGTGAAGGGTTTAGGGTTTAGGGTTTAGGGATTTAGGGTT